AATCTGTACTTTTTGAAAAATATGGGGGAAAATGTGATATGTACACAAAAGAATGTACAAAAATGAATTGCATTATGAAAGCTGCTTGCAGAATTATATAAGCATTAAGTGTGAAAATGCATAAAAATGTATACATTATAAAATATTTGTGCAAAATAGTATATAGTGGCTGTACAAATTCTATTTTTTTTAAAAAAATCTCAAGTTGATTATGAAATTGTTTGAACTGTAATCAAAATGGAAAAATTGAGAAACCAAATTTGTTTTGACAATGAGCTAAACCACACTTTAGTTATCTGTGGCTTTAATGAATTTATCCAGTTACTTTTTCTCTGTCTGTCTGTCTGTCTCTCTGTCTGTCTATTTTTACTCTTATAGTGCAGAGGACCTTAGCATCACTGGTGTTCAACAAAGCATGAACTAGACCAGTGGTTCTCAATCTGTGGTCCACAGACACCTGGGGACTTGCGGTCATCACAAGGAGTCCACAAAGGCTTTAAGAAATGTTATGATTTAAATCTAGAGTTAAATCTTGACAGTCTGTGTCCATGGTTCGTAACCAGAAATTTTTTTCAAAGGTGATCTATGGTAAAGAAAAGATTGAAAACCACTGAAATAGACTGAGCATGGGTGAGAGCCCTATTAATGCCTATCTTGTGGCAGTAGGGACAGCAAAGCCACTACTTCTTTGTCCTTTTTGCATCCACATGGCATGGGCAGGGTGTGGGTAGTGCATCCATTCTTGCTCCCATGGTAGCTTTCAATACCATCAACCATGGACCAGCTCAGAAGATTGGGGGTAGGTAGCATGACATGTTGTTATGCTGGTTCACCACCTTTCTTGAGGACCAATTCCAGTTATGTTCATTGGGAAATAGAAACCCTACTCTTGGCCCTATTATCTATCCTTTATAACATCTATACCATGCTGTTGGGCGAGCTCATAGGGTGCCATAAAGTATGTACATATCCCCTGGTGATTTAAGTGATGCTTGAATGTCTTATCCTTATTTCTGAAGTCTATGAGAGGCTTTGGGTTATGGGGCCCTCTGGTTCAAGGACTTGGCTATTTGGGTGCTGGATAGGATTCCACTACCTTAGATAAACACTGTTTTCACTTTTAAATATCCAATCTTATTCAAAGGTGTAATATTTAAAACACATACTGTATTCTATTACTAAACATTGTTTAGAATATCCTCATGTCACATAGCAATATAGTTGCTGAACAATCACCATCAGCTACTGAAGGAAGAAAGTAAAAGAAAAAGGAAAGCTAAATTTAGTCACCTAAATCCTTTCTAAATTAATGCTCTGATCCTATGTGCTTAAAGATTTTGTTTAGTTCAGTATGAATATATTGGGATAAATCTGTAAAATTAAATACAGAATTCATTACTAGCCCATCATAGCTTCCCCATACACTGTATTCTGCCTAAATTGATAGACAATAAATGCAGGTTTATTTCTAAGATGTGAAATACTTGTCCACCACAGTAGCAAAATGTGCTAAGCAAATACAGTACTGGGTATGGTAAAAAAAAATTTAAAGCTTAATTCAGAGTCCAGCAAGATGAATAATGCCAATCATATTTTAGAAAGTTAATTCAGTTTAGTATGATGCTTGTATAGGCAAAGCCTAGTTTGCAAATAACTGCTAACCCAGAATCATCTAGCATGGCTTAAAACAGTTTGTAGGCCATACTTTGATTCAGTGGCTAAATTCATGTTAAAATAAAATGTGGTTTGCTTGTCTACTATATGAATGCATCGTTATTTATAAGATAGTATTTATATAGCATATAAATAGGCAGAATATGGACTGGTCGATGAAAGCATCCAGGAAGGTACCAGGAAGCTGATTTTAAGTGGTGATGAATGGTTCTTTAAAGAAATACTTCCATCTCCCTTGAAATGGTGGGTGATACATTCTTTCCCCAAAAGCAATCATTTGACTTGGCAATTTTTAATAACTAGGTGATATCAAACCTGATTTTTTTCAAAAAGAAGAGAGTGGTGGGATTGCAGTTGCAAAGAATTTTAAGGAAAACGGACCCGACTGAATCGACATTGGTCACTCTTGTCCTGTAGTGATGGGATAAAATGAACATTCCTGCTTCTGCTTGATCTTTTAGTGGCCTTCAATACCATTTATCATGACATCCTTATAGACTAACTGCAAATATGGGCTGGGGCTCTGCTACATGGTTCTCCTCAAGTGCAATTTCAGTTGCTGGCAATTCAGATGAGAAGCTAAGTCCTCCTTTGTGTAGCATCTTTTTTTAATATCCACTTAAAGCCTCTAGAATCATGTATAATTAGTATGTACTTGATACCCAGCTGTGCATTTTAACTGCTGGCTGAACAGGAGATAATGTGAAGGTGTTCTCCTGGTATCTGGAAGCTATGAGGGTCTGGATGGAGATGAACTATTTTAGAGTCAATCTCAGCAAGACAAAGTGACTTTGTATATAAAGCCTTCCAATTCCAAATATTCCAGCTTTGGCTAATGATGGGGCTGCATTTCCTCAAGCAGAGCTGCTTAGAAATCGGGTTTCATTTGAAGAACGGGTAGCAGCTGCAGCTGGGTCTTTTGCATAAATCTACCTTGCCTGTCATTTTTCTGCTAAAGCTGTTATCGGTGCCTTGTAGATTGCAGAATGACTGGATAACATTTGAACTGTAGAAAAAATGCCTCTGAAAACTTCATCCTGCTAATTTAATGGCAACTATATAAATAATTTTAAAGCCTGATATTTAATACCTGCCACCTTACTATCAAAATAAAATTATAAATAATGGTTATTCTGGAGACAGAAAGGCTAGTATTTTCACAAACCCAAAAGTAGCATTACAACAGCTCAAATTTGCTATCTGTAACACCCTGAGGAGCTTGATGGGTCACTGAGAATATTCATATTAAAGATGACAAAATGACTTGAATCAGTAAGTGCTTCAGCATGTGACAGGAAAGAAACTAAATATATCATCCATAAGCCTCCGAAAGAATTCTGATTCCAAAAGTTCTTTGGCGAGTACAGATAAAATATTTTGCGTTTAATTCACTTTGAAACTCGAATTACTTATTTAATTGGAAAATTACCGTATTGGAAACCTAATGTCTTTATGTACCCCATCTCTGCTTCCTGCCTTGGTGTGGTGGGTTGGTATACCTGCTGCCACCATCTGTTTTCCAGAGAAACCCTTCACCCAGTATCTTCCTCTGAGCCACAGTGTATGAGACAGATAAAACTCCCACAAGCTTCATTGCTTTTCCAGGAAATTAAAATGAAAAGAAAAAACAAACAGATTTTCTAGCACCATCTTCTGGCCTTTTAGCATTAGTTGTATAGCTAACAAAATCCTGCTTTTTTTCCTTTCATTTTAGGAGATAAACCAATTTCACAAGAGATAAATAGACTCAAACTTTATTTTTAAAAAATAAAAGAGAATGAAAACATTTTTAACTGTAAGTACTACCATGTAAAATGAGTGATGGAAGAGATGCAAATATAACATCTTAATCTACCATGAAAAAATATACAATTCTGGATAGACAAGTGTTGCTAGGCTGCTCCTACATAGAGGCAATCCTACTGTAAAGAAATTTTAACTGACATTACAAACTCTAATTTTTCTGGAAAAGACCTTGGGAGACTGGGCAAAGAGACAGTATTCAGGTAAGAGACAGCATAGTCCCACAGCTAGATAGTAGGCAGCCCAAAAGGCTCAGAAAGATCCATCCATGTATAGGTACATACTTGGGCTGTAAAGGATAAGGAGGGTGATAGAATTATACTTTCATACCTGCAAAATTGTGTCAATATAGCTTTACATAAAGTAGAAATAGTTCAACTGGTTGTGGTTCCTATCTGGTTTACTCCACAAGGCTGACCAAAGTACACAATTACTGAGCTGGTATAAAGAAATTAATCCCAAGCACAAACTGAAAACAAAATTAAGACTTTAAAGTAGTTTTCTGCCTAGACTTACTCATTCCTTAAAACAAAGATTCCTGAAGCAACAGCTCCTTTTTGCTTTCCTTAATTCCCCCCCCCCCCTTTTCTACTGTGGTTCTTTTAACTTGAGCTAATTTTCCTTTCCTTTTCCTAACCTTAACAATTCCTGCAGTTTAAAACAACAAAACGAGGAAGGAGCTGGGGTATATGCAGCTGCTGAGGAAGCAGCTGGTTTGTATACAGCTGCCTGCTGTTTACAAACCAGAGCAAGCATGTATTTGTTTGAAATGAGTAGATATACAGACCTAGCTATCTGACAGTGAATGAAGTTATTAGGAGCCCACAGGTTCCATACTCTTACTTTATAGCTTTAAAAATGATATTAGTCAAGAAAACCAATAGCAATTTCAGTACTCCAACCTCCTTGTTTTAAGTTGATAATTCATACTGCACTAAGTCATAATTTAATTAAGGCTTGCAGCTTGGATTTGTATATCAGACGAAGCAGAACCATGGTAACTTAAGTCAAAATTAAATAAATCTCATTTTGGTTAAAATTAATGCATTATTTGAAGAAAGATCTGTCTCTAGTTGAGATTGGATAGACTAGGTCCTATCAACCAAGAAGTATCTATTGACTAAATCCAGGAAGTGTAGCTTCTTTGGAAAGATATTCAGTCATGAGATCCAGATGTTTCTCACCCTGATGACATTGAGGAAACAAAGACCTAGTTATTTTCCCTGGCTTTGAGGCAGGCTAAAGGTTAAGCACCTACTGGATTGGATTTTTTTGGTTCATATGTTTGCATTGAGGCTGTTCATAATCTCTTTTATGTCTCTTTTTTAATGTTATGATTGTAAGATGCCCAGAGTTATTGGGAGCTAAGTGGCCTATAAATTGTAGAAATATAAAAAAATAAACCTAGCCATTATCATATAAACTTTAAAGGAAGGCTAAAATTCTATGCATTGCGACTAAGTCTACTAAATTCAATTGGCATCTATTTCCACACCGTGAATAAAAATTCTATGATTAAATTATAAACTGAAATGATTTTATTTAAATAATAATAAAATGCAGAGATGAAAGGAAGCAAAACTTTTACATGATTCCAGGTACTGATAAAATTATTTTATTATAAAAATATAGACATATTGCATAAACATTATCTATCGTACTTTCCGGCGTATAAGACGACTTTTGCAAGTGTTAAAATCGGCACCGAAGTCAGGGGTCGTCTTATACACCAAGTTGTTTTATACGCCGGAAATTACGGTAGTTTCCGGCGTATAAGACGATTTTCTAGGCATGTGACTCGGCGCCAAAGACGGGGGTCGTCTTATACGCAGGGTCGCCTTATATGCTGGAATATACGATATAAATTTTCCTGATGCCAAGACTCTTCCATTTAATCCACTATAGACTTTCTAGTACTATAAGAAAATCAACTGTGTCCAATAATCTACCTTAATCTGCATTAGAAATAGAGGTTAATGCCCCTGACTTATTTTTATTAGTAACTAATAATTAGTTCACCTCTGCCTGTTACAGTAGCTTAATTTGTCATCTTTATAAAAGCTTAAAAGAAGTAAATCAGCTGTGTTAAGTGTCCATGCATGCATGTGCACACATACTCACATATATTTCAATGTAATAAAAGTAAAAATATACAAAACAAGATAGTAAGGAAAAATTTCAAGAAATGAAAGAAGAAAACATACAATTGTACCTTTCTATCAAGTAATATTTTATCCACTTTCTCCCTTTTTATCCTGAAATCATTGATTTATTTTTTTCTTTCAGCAAAAAGTTTATATAAAGCTTCCAGTGTTTCAAAAAAGAAGATTCCCTTTCTTTTTCTCTCATCAAACTGATCAGCTTCATCATTTCTGCAAGTTCAGTTATTTTTATGTCAGTCTTCTGCTGAATGTTTTTCATCGTATTTCCATTTTTTATAGAATAATCTTACAACAATTATATTTTCCAAATTCCAAATTCTTTTCTAATTCCTTGTCCATAAAATTCAGTAGGAATAATTCTAATTTGATAAATGTCCCTATTTTTTCAAACGAAAGCTCACCTGCAGTCTTAAAAAGATAGATCCCTGCCCACAAAAATTGTTCAGCCAAATCCTCATGATATTCTTGTATTTTTCATCTAATGCATGATTTCCACATGTCTGATTCAATCTGTTTCCAATCTTCTCCCATTAATTGTTTGAAACTGATTTTTTTAAAATATTCCAGACAATGGCTGCAAGAAAAAGCAAGCATATATTCAACCTTTCTCACTCTTACTGAATTGCTACAAAGAATAATGACAATAATAAAAAATTGTACTCTATTAAACACTAGGATAGTTCATTCATTCAAGAAACAAAGTTCACATCTTTGACAGCTGTTTATATATACATAAATATCACATTTTATACCAGGGTTTTTTCAGCCTTAGCAATAGCAATAGCATTTAGACTTATATACCGCTTCACAGTGCTTTACAGCTCTCTAAATGGTTTACAGAATCAGCATATTGCCTCCAACAATTTGGGTCCTCATTTTACCAAGCATGGAAGGCTGAGTCAACCTTGAGCTGGTCAGGATTGAAGGAATCGAACTCCTGGAAGTGTGAGCAGAGTTAGCCTGCAATACAGTACTGCATTCTAACCACTGAGCCACATTCAGAACATTAAGATGTATTCCAAAATTAATCTAGATTTTTTTGATAATTTATACTCAAACCTGTAGTGGTTTGAGAGTTACAGTTTGATAGACAGCCTGAGTTTCAAACCCAGTCTCAGAGAGATGACTTTGGACCTTATCTGGTCTTTGAACCCAACCTGTCTCACAGTTTGTGGAGGCATACTACCTGAGATCTTGTATGAAAAGTAGACTATAAATATAATAAAGTTATAAAACTGTACTCTTAGGATATAGGACAATAAAATATTCTTTTCCCTATACCAGACTTTCAATAATCATAACGGCAACACAGATCATAAAAAATGGCATCACAGATATACTTACAAATCAGGTTTCTGGTTATCGTGAACTTCATTATGAGGAATAGGATAGAGTGCTTCATATGTTCTATTCACATCTGTTCCATGAATTGCAAATGCATTAAATCTGTCAGTGTTGGGAGGAAAAAAATTCCAAGGCAAATGAGCACGGCCCCTCCATTTGGTAGTTGTTTTTGAAACTTCAAATATTAAAGGAAGCTCTTTCTGGGTTAAAGTAAAAAAATTAAAAAAATTAAAACACTGATTTACCTTCTTCTCAGAGTCACTCACATATTTAGGGGGAAATTAACTCAAATGGTTCACTTACTCTGCAGATATTCCGTTTGCCACAAAGGAATAATACAAGATGTTGGCCATGCCTATAAAAATATAATATAAAGATAACAGAAAAATACTTGCTTTGTATCTCCAGCCAGAGTGTACTTATTAGATGTTACATGAAGATAGTACTGTCAACATGCAAAACAGCAACCATCAGCTAATAATAAATGTAAAAACATTAAAGATACAGGACTACTTTTAGTAAATTCTCCTGCAATGTATAGCCATATGGTGTATGTATGTATGTATGTATGGTTAATAACACTAAAAATATGAACCCTGGGAATATTCATATTTAAAATAAGGTGAGCACCAGGGTGATAAAACTATAAAAGTTTAATTTAATTTAAAAACGCCAAGCTTTCGCCGTCACCTGCCGGCATCCTCAGGGCTTAAAACGCCAGGGAGTGAGAGAGTCTCTTATAAGCAAGCCAAAGTGTGCTCTGCACACTTGACATTAAGATCACGGAGTGCGGCCAGTTACCCATCCCGTTACCGACGGCCCGACAGCAGACCTAGTGGAAAAACCAAGGGGAACATGCCAACCCCCCGACTAGTCGTGGACAACTCAGAGGATGAAGAACAACGTCTGAGAATCCCCACCACCCCCACAATGTTGACACGCTCCGAAAAGACCAGGAGGGCGATAACAACTAAAACCCAGAATCCCCATACTATGAACACCAGGGACTTTCCAACTGATACAGCAGAAGGCAATATAGACGGAGATGGGGGGGATTGTTAAAACCAACACCGCATCTACGGCTCGAGAGGCATAGGACGATCGATCCGAAGAAGATGGGACGACCCCCCCATTCTGTAATGCCGACCGAGTTGGGGATGTATGGGGTGTGGGATAGCTCTAGGAGCGACTGCAAGTTGATGGACACCCTGGAGAGCGGAGAGAAGAGCGAACCCGGATGGAGGAATGCGCGAGAGGGCGGAGCTTGCGGGATCAGCCTACCGCGCCTCACATCAACAGCACCCATCGACTCCGAAGATCCTTGTCACAGGCACGCAAGAATGAGAGGCAACGGAGCGAGGAGGGGGATGGAAGAGGAATGCTGTGACGTTCGGAAGGATCGTAACCCCACCTCCCCCCAGACCGAGACCTTTGTTTATAACGCGGGGAAAAAGAGCGCAGGAGACGAAAGAAAGGGGGGGAGCACGTTAACTGGGTTTAGCCGCATCTACGGGACTGGCTGCATAGACAAACAACTTATTGAATCATCCCAGCTTACTACCACACCCCAGTTAACCCAGAGTGGTACATGTGACCATCTTGACAGCAGTTGGGCACAAGGGGGAGGTACTAGGGATGAAAGGGAAAACATTCAGAGAGAGAATAGTCGTGCAAATGTGGATTGGGAGAAGGAGAAGGAGAAATGCAAACCACTAGATAAACCCGAGGGAGAGAACAGAGACAATCAGAGAGACAAGGAGGTTGCTCCACCTACTTTAGAGCTCAAAGAAAAGAAGGCAAATGAGGACACACGCGAAAAAAAGGGGTGCAGGAAGAAACGAGTCACCGGAGCACAATCCAACCAATTAGGTCTGATGACGAGATCGAGGAGCCGGGCGCAGACTTTGGCTTGCTTATAAGAGACTCTCTCACTCCCTGGCGTTTTAAGCCCTGAGGATGCCGACAGGTGACGGCGAAAGCTTGGCGTTTTTAAATTAAATTAAACTTTTATAGTTTTATCACCCTGGTGCTCACCTTATTTTAAGTATGTATGTATGTATACATAGGTATCTCGAGATAGAGATACACACATAATTTTAAAAATGTAAACCAATTTGGTGTAGTGGTTAAAGTACCAGGCTCGAAAGTAGGAGATGGGCTAGAAGCTGGCAGATGATGAGTTCTAGTCCCTGATTTGGGCATGAAGCCACTTGGGTGTCCTTGAGCCAGCTCGAATGGGTGTCCATTCTCTCAGCTCGAGAAGGAAGCAAGGCCAAACCACTTCTAAAATCTTCCCAAGAAAACTGCAGGAACTTGTCCAGGCAGTTGTCAGCAGTCAAGACGCTATATATAAAAAACAACATGACTGTAATGAAAAACTGCTTAAGTAATTATTATAGAACAGTGGTTCTCATCCTTTTGTTCACCACGGACCCTTTTTAAATACCTTTTGTGGTCAAAAACCATGGCCACAGAACACCAAGACTTAATCCAAGATTCAAATCATAACATTTCTTCAAGCGTTCGTAGACCCCCTATGAGACATCATGGCCTCTCAGGGGTCCACGGATCGCAGGCTGAGAATCACTGCTATAGAACATTCTAAAAATTATTTGAAATATCTACTTACGGGCAGAGCTCTACTTCCAGGTACTGCTGGGTTTGGTAATTCAAGAAGAAGGCTTCTACAACTAAAACCATATAACAGTTGTTCATTTTACCTTGTATATTTCATATAGACACAAAGAACATTGAATACAACATCCATAACTGTGGTCTTATTTTACCTACCCTAATGATGCAAAAGTAAGAGCTAGTCTGGTGTAATAGTTAAGGCATTAGTTTAAAAACTGGGAGAGTCTGATTTCTATTCCTGCTTTAGGCATGAACCCAACTGGATAATCTTGTGCCAGTGACCCTCTCTCAGTCCTAGGGAAGAAGCCAAAACACTTTCAAAATCTTGCAGGGATTAATCCAAGAATTCTCCAAGAGTCAACACTGACTCAAAGACGTGCACACACACACACACACACACAAAAGATGCAAAAAATTGCAAAATCTTTTCTAGAAGCCTACTTTAGCCTTATTCAGAAAACAAACTAACTGTACAAGCTTCTATCAGAGACATTGGATATGCTTTATCATGGTCATCATTGTTTTAAAACTATGACAAATTTTAACAAAACTACGACAGACATTCAGACTTAATGGACTAAATATATGTATGAAAAATAACTACTTGGAGATCATAATATTGTATTTTAATGCAATTAGGGTGAAAAATTAAGGACAAGTCTATTCAAATGGCTTCCACAAGATATTTATTTCACAATGTGCAACTTCTTTATGCAGACTCCAACTTGGCATTCATATGTTAACTTTTAAATCCCTGTTTGAAGTTCTGGAAATATATGTCTCAACACAATCAAATTTAGAGCTCATAAAATGCATTACCAGCTGAGATTTGTCTTCAACTGATAAGCATTTTTTTAAAAAAAAAATATACACGTAGATGCTGAAGTGGTTGCATATCCTTTTAAGTTGTTTTGTTTTTTGTTTTGTTTTTTGTTTGCAAAACAATGGTGTAAAGTGAAAAGACTTATGTTCAGGATAAAACAATTCAATTTCAGTGGCATTAGAGAAACATCAAATGGAAAAATCAAACAGCCAATTAAACAAATCAGTTTCACTTCACAGTAATATTTCTGTTCAGGCAAAACATTTCAAATCTAATTAATTTGAACAGTCATAATGAAGAAAGGGGAATGATAATGAAGACAGATAATAGGCTAATTTATGAAACTTACCTCAAGAGGGTAATGGCTATCTTGGTAAGATCAGAAAAGCATGTGTAAATAGTAATATATGACTTACAACAAGAGAAAATTAAGTTGCATTAAAATTCTAACAGCATATTTGCATATGAATATACAAATATTTAAGATACTAGATTTATCAAAATCATTTTTAAAAACTTTTGATACCAGCACAGAAGTCAGTAAACTAAAGAAACCAGCAATATGCTGAGCAGTTTGAGGTCTCATTAATAACATAAAATCTATTTTGATCAAGTATTTCTGCAAATTCATTTATCTAGTATGAAAGATGGGAGGGCTCAAATAGCAGAGAGTGGTTTGCTAAAAAACAGACAGAAGTGCAGAAGTGCTTGCAAACAACATAGTTTCATCATATGAAAAGGCTAGATATAAAACTGACGTGTTTTTAGTAAAAACCTGAAAATTGATTCACTAAAGATATTAAGTCTTATTGATAGAACTATATCTTTAGCCACTTTATATTTGATTATGGTACCTAAATATTTATGTTCAGAAAAAAGTGGAAGATTTTAATTGCTGCCATAGTTTATGGCTAGACGTTATAGGTTTACAATGTTCAGAGGCAAAAGCAATAGGACCATCAGTAGAATTTATATATTGTGTCTTTCAAATTAAATTTAGAGTTTGGGCTCTGTGAAAAATGTAAATCTTATATAGCTAAGCCAGTAGCAAAGAAATGCTAAAAACAAAATGGTCTATAGGCACCCCAAATAGGAACACTTGGCACATCGGCATTTTGCTACAGTGTATACCTATAAAAACAAAAAAAAATGAACCTCTAGGCAAGAATTGCTATCAGAATATTCAAAATGTTAAGTCTTAATACAATAAGTTTACTTACCCTCATAGTCCCATAATTCATCGAATGGTTTTCCTGGTTCACCAGGAGGGGCTGGAGGATCATTGAAAAATGGAGCATTCAATTCCATCAGTATTCCTGTATTTTCTGGACTCAGGCTGATTATTATTGGATCATGGGACACTGGAAGGCTGTTCCATGTATGTTCAATTTTAAACTCCATCTAAATCTTTTATATCAAGAAAAATAATTATTTAACATAAATACTAATAATATGTATGTCAAATTGAAATGTCTTTTAATTGAAGATATTATATTAGCTATTATAGAATTATTAATTATATATCTACAATTTTTAGTTTCAGGATCTATTTCATCGATAGGCATTTGCTTAAAATAAATCCAATTCACTTACTTTTTATTCAAGATATATATGATTTTCAAATATATTCAATATATTAACAGCAGAGAAAATAAGTTAAGAAAGTATACCAGGTCTTATAGGTTTTTAAATATATCATGATTTACTCAATTGTTTGAAGAGCAAGATTGTTGTCCACAGTGATCACAACATTTAAATATGCAAATCAGCTTTGCAAATTTCCCCTTACGTATTTGATCTGCTTACTTGCCACTAGTTAGGAATGGACAAATAGAATATTTAATCTGGATTTTAAAATAGTGATAATAGAGCCTATCGTGTGAACACAAAGTATACTGTTGTTGTTAAGGGCATTAGTCATATGTCAGAACAGGTACACAACTACAGTATATCATACTCTCAATAGTCTGTTGCTTTTTAAACTTTCAAGATAGCATGAACCTCAACAATTGTCACATCACTTTATTTATCCTTATTGAAAATTGATGTTCTGCATGACTTAGATTGTCAGAGAAACAACTTTAGCTGGATAGTCACATCCCTGCAACAACATCATTGTAATTTTCACTGTTTTAATAATTTCCACAATTAATATCAACTCTAACTTTGCTACTAACCCCTTCCAGATCATCTGCAGTCTTAAGATTTGACGGTTTAAAGATCACAAATGGGTGAATCACATCACACAGCTATGCAAAAATGAAACAAAATCTATTTTTCGGCTATGCTTATCAAGAGCTGCTCCGGTCATTGTTAACGCTGCCGCTAAGTTTGTGTGTGCACATATTCACACATACACAAATGCATACAATGTAACCTTATCTCCTTTAGATTGCCAATTGTTTTGCATGAAACAGACATTCTGCCTTTAATAGTTACTTGGTTTCAACGGCTTAACTTCTGCTCGCCGAAGCAACTATTCAAAACTAGTAATTCCGCAAGGAAAGGGAATGGGGGTATGGGGCTATTTCAAAAGCTAAAGAAGAACGCTAAAAGAAAATCCACCCGCGACCAGCATTCAGTGCAACTTTTATGGTTACTCCAAGAAAGCTCCTGTGAGCTTAGTAACACCCAGATTCCCAAGGATAGGAATAGAAAATTGCAATCTGAGCTCTCCTGCTCGTAATTCAAACCTCCACACCAAATCCTCACCAAAGGGAGCGACGGCACTTCCGCTCAACCCCCCAGTTACTTTCACCCGGCAACGTCTCGATTCAAAGGAAAAGGAAAGAACGAAGCATGTGACCATTTAAACCAATGGAAAGGAGATCTTGTAAGCTCAACTAGAATCCGATTGGCGATTTTTTTCTGACAACATCATGCAGGGTCTCCCCACCCCACCCACCGTTTTTTGTTTGTTTGTTTTTGTGTGTTTTTTAAAACCTTTTTAGAGCCAAGTCGGTCGTTAAGACGCCCGCGGTGTTGTGGCAAGCGATTTAGCGGCGCGTGCCGCTCTCCTGGGGGAAAGACGGCGATTGGAGGGGAGGAGGTGACGTTGCTAAAGTGAAGCCCGCAGCTGCTTCCAGATTTGTTGGATGGTTCGTCCTTGTGCCCGCGCTGATGGGATTTAACAGTCTACCTTCCCTTCTGTAAGTTTCTTCTTTTCCTTTCCGTCTTACTTCTGAGAATTAGGTAAGGGCAAGCTACCAACATAGGGTGACGCCCTCTGCAGCAAACCCAATACACCTTCTTTTTTTCTAAATGTATGCTTATGCGGTAAACTACATAAGCATACCATAAACCCCACTATACCATGGTAGGTTTACTTAGAGCAAACGGTTCCAATGAAAAAATAGCTCCTCTGGATAAAGTTACAGCACAGTTCTCTTGCATCTACTCTCCCCGCTGGAATTCAACTGGAATTATTTCCAGGTAAGGACCTGGTTTTTACCGATCTTTAGATGTTATATATAAGACTGAAATTATATTACTTTAATTCCATATTCAATCGGGGAGGGGGAGAGAGGGTCTAAGCTCGAATGGAAAATTCAAGGAGAACCAGGAAGATGCACACAATAAATCTTTCCTGCAGCCCAAAGTCCAAGCATTGCTAGAGGAGCTTCGAGTCAATATTACCTGTTGGGCTTTTCAGGAAGGATAATTTAAGACCTCTGATGAGCTTGCAGCATCCCAAGTACTTTCTCTCCAAAGAGGTGAGCTAAGATATTATAAGCCTGGAGAAGAAATGCTGGATTTCAAAGATCAAGCTAACTTGCCAAGAAGCAAAACATTAAATGATTGGAGGGGAGACAATATGTTGAGGACATTTCAGTATGATACATGGAGATTAAACTTTACATTAAGATTGCACAGTCATATATGAAAGTAGAAGTATTTTAAGCATTTTGAAAATTAAGGGATAGATATCATCTTTGTAAGCTTGTCTATTTTTTAAAATAAAGAGTACGATATAAATGATGGAAATACTCAACTATTAAAACTTTACACTCCAGATCTTCCATTATTATTTGATCTTAATTTTTCTATCTGAAGATAAAAACATTGACATTAAGATGTATAGGAAATAAGAGGCTTTCCTTTTCAAATATCTCAAATTGATTATTTTATGATTGACATCCATAACATCAGGATTACAGCTCTGAAGCATGTTGCAGACTTTGTGGAAGCCTGTTCAGGTTGTTTTGTATTTCTTCCTAAGAATTTAGTTTTAGAGGATAAAGTTCAAAGCAATTATAAGTTGTGTTTGCCAGTTGTATTTATTTTATTTTCACAGATTTTATGTTTCTGCTCCTGAAAAGCAAATCAGCTTCCTAGAAACTTTATATGAAATTCCAATAAGATTCTAAAATGACAACAGATATCAAGGTAAGTTCCATATAAATTTTCATTAAAATTCATACTGTATTGCATAGTTTAGGGACTAGATATCAGAGTTCATCAACCTTTTTTTGGCTGGAAGCTACCCCTTTTTATGTATTATTTGATGGAAGCTGCAAGGGGAGGGGTAGTATGATTAAGCATAATGTAAATTGATGTATATAATTGTTTCATATCTTTATTTCATGATTTTTAGATTCTATTTTGATGTACCTTTTAACCTATTCTAAGCATCATATAAACAAGGGACCTTGCAGTTCATCTAGTTAAATTTGCTTATCCATTATTATAAGGTTCTTATATTTTCACTTTTGAAAAAGAGAACATTCTGTAAAGTAGCTTGTTTACATAATTGCCTGAATACATTTATGTTTTTTTACCAAATAAACCTATGCCAGTTACATTTGGCCATTTGTCTAACTGAGCCTTGAGCATTATTAAAAAGCAAGTCTTTGTCATATAGAACCATTGTTTGTTGTGATGGTGGCTGTATTAATGACATTAGCAACATTTTTCAACAGAATATTGTAAATCAGTATCAATTCCTCAAGATTTGAGCAATCCTGCCAAAATCTCAGGATATTTTTTTAAACATGCATATTTAAGAACATTGTGGTATTCCAATCTAACTAGAAATCAATAGTACTTTTGTTTGTTATAAATATTTTTTATGTATATCTTAACATACTGTGAGCCTTTCACTACTTGTCATTTCTGTTGCTCCTGATGAGTCATATATTTTTTTGTAAGTGGCATCCTTTTGGGGCTAGAGATTTCTGTATCTTCTTGTTTTCTTTTAGTCGTCATCTGGATTTTTGAAGCCCAGTCCTAGTAGTCCTATAATTTTGCTGGCTATCGGTTCTTCTTTTCTTTTATCCATTTCCAAACAAAGTAGAAATAAAATTTAGTTGCTAGTTTATGACCGATCAAAAGGAGTAGCTGATATGAAATAAAATACAAACATACAAGATACTGGTTGCCACTGATAGAAAAATTATAGAAATGCCCTTAATGGAATTAATGGCCCTTCATTTGGCTTTAACATTTAATGAAATACTAGGGTAAATAATTAGTTGCATTATTATTATAAGGTAATACAGTTGGCAAATATTACTCTCTATTAAAGTTATAGATTTTTTGAGTTCCTAAAGATAAACAAAGAACTGAAATAATATATAAATGTGAAAACAGAATAACATATGAAAAGCTAAGGTTATGCTTTTTGAATTCAATTTGAATCCATAGGAATTTTATTTATTTTTAATTTTTATTGATTAAATTTTTAGGCCACCAATATACCCTACAAGAGAATACATTGTGAATAGTTTGATTTAAATAGGATCTGTAGAGTTAAATTTTAGAGGGTTTTTAAAACATCTTTTTATGACAAGCGATAAACTTCAATAAAATAAAATGTTTGTTTCCAGAATAATGCCTTTGAAGATGCCAGTATAATGGAGCACATCCTGATAGACCAAAGGTAAAATGATTTATTTGGCATTCTAAATAATGTATAAAATGCAATTTCAAAACACCTTATAAAAAGATATGTTGATGCCTGGAAATGCTCTTCAAAAATGAACAAATGAAGTCTCTATTACTTTTTTATCTTGTTCATGTTTGTGTGTGTGTGTGTGTGTGTAAAAACTATATTTGTACACATAATTTAAACAAATATACTCTAATCAGGATAGAGCAGTGTTTCTCAACCTATGGGTCGAGACCTCATTTGGGGTCAAACGACCATTTCACGGGGGTCGCCAAACAACGCAGTCCGCCATTTTTTTCCCCTTTTCCTTAGCTGTGCTACTCCCTTTTATGCTACTCTCTTGAATAGAGTCTAATTCTATTGGCTTTCAAAAGCCAATAGGAATTGTCCAGGCTATCTCTGCCCTGCTGAGCCCGCCAAAAGTCCCATTCTGCAAACGGTGCTGTACCAGTTGAGTAGTCCTCGACTTACGACCGGTTGAGTAGTCCTCGACTTACGACCGGTTGGGGGTCGTGGCATTAAAAAGGTTGAGAACCACTGGGATAGAGGAAATAGATTTGTAATTAAGCAAGAAGTAAGATTCTATGGATTGCATCCAGATGTAATCATATAGTTGAACTGCTGAAATTAATGGAATTTAAAGTTGATTTATTCATTTCAGTGGCTCTTAAGTCAATCATAAACAAATTTATAAAAATTCTCCATGTGTCTCTAAATATTTTGCCAATAATTATGCTTGGCAGAACCTGAGTCTTTATCTGGAAAAAATTCCAGAAGCAGTCTATGCCTTAGTAACGAGAAACTGCAGCTAATGTTTTATGACATCAGAGCTTGGTAGCTTGATTTTTTCCTTCCTTTCACGTCTTAAAATATTAGCAAAACTGGTATTGAGTTTGATTTTTAAAAAAATATATATATAAAAGTTATCATTTTGTAAGGGATAACGGTTCTACTGGAAAACTTCATAAAACCATTCTTAGTCCAAGCAAAGCAGTTTGTGTTCCCTCCTTTATTTGGGCAAATTGAAAGGAAAGGAATTATCTTGCATAAAATCTCTTTTCAAGTGGTGCAAGAGGAAAAGGAATTTAAACATTTTCATCTATGTTTATAATTATATCTAATTTTTACAATAACTAGTTGTTAAGCATCCTGAGTTGCTTACATTAGAACATTGTTGATCCATAACCGGTACTTCCAATGAAATTATTCTTGTTTGCTTGTTTGTAATCCCTTGATATTTTATAAGTCAAGATATACCAAATAAAATACTGATAATATGTAGTAAGGTGACTTTTACAACACAGCTATGTCAAATTTATTTTGGGGATTCTAGCTTTCTACCCCAATCTAGCTGAGTTCTGGGATGTCTGGTATAGATGTGTCCCATGGTGAAAGGGGTACTGAGGTACGTAAGCTGAGTTGCCACCACCTGAGTAGAAAGAAAACCATCTGCTCATATTCTTGGGAATCCAGATAGGGTAAGAGATTCCACTTCTTCAGAATTAAGCTGTTAAGGAAATTGACTTCAGTTTCACTGAATGATCAAGGAAGTTTTGGAGTATCTAATACTTAAATAAATCCACAACTAAGTGGGGAAATCCCATTCTTACTTCTTACAGGAATCATGTAATGGCTTTAAACTGTGTGCTATATTAGGATTAGGAAGAGTCAAGTTCAAATTTATCTTCAGCCTTGGAAAAACATTGAATGGCACTTTGGATTGTTACTGCTAATAAAAATTGGAGTATGGAATACTGTGTATGCCTTTTGAGCCTCTAGAAGAAAAGCAGGATATAAATGTAACATACAATAAGGACCAATTGCTTGAAAAATGCTTCTATATATGCATGTGTGTTTGAAATTATTGCTCTTATCCTTAAGTATTTTTTCTAATGCTTCATTTTTGTGTCATTGATGAGATTTTTCTTATTTTTAACTTCATTGTGTCACTTGAATGTTCACTCAATATAGGAACTTTATTTTATATCCCTTTTAGTTCATTACCTCCTATAGTTGCTGAATATGATAAAAATCTTGGGGAAATGAATGAACAACTAAAATACTGCCAGGTACAAAGTAAAACTATTTTTACCACTAATATAGCTCATTAAGTAATTTAAAAATAATATTTAGAATTTAAATAATATTGGTAAGATGCTTTTTTTAAATCACTGAATCAAAGCTAATATTGTCACTGTTTTTAATTCAAAAAATACGTTTAACTATTTCTAGTTTGAGAAAACGTATTTCATAAACTAGAAAAGACAACATTCTTAATTGACTTTCAAGCATCTTATTAGTGATTGTATCATGCTAAATATGTATTACATGTGATCTATTGTATCTTCAAAAATAAATATTTAATCTCCTGCTTTTCTTCCTTTAGATGCAGATGAAAGAAATGAGGCTAAAACTTGAGCAAGTCATCAAAGAAAATGAAAGGTAAAGTCATAAAAATCATATTAATACTGTATTGTCTGTGTCACATAGCAAGAAACTAGTGATTGAAATGATTATGTATTTCGTCTTACCTTTGCAGTGCAATGAATACAGATACCTTGGGAATGGGGATTGCTAGAAATAATGTGGGAAAATTTCATGAATAACCTAAAATGTTTTTTCTGGACATACAAGTGTTAACTGTCTGATAGAAGAACCATTATTAATAAAAATACAATTTTGTTGCTGTTTTACAATGAAGTGATCCACCTTTTATTGTAACACAGATTGCATGAAGAGTTAAAAGAAGCAATTGAAAGGCAATTGGAAGTTCTGCCATCTGGTTCTGTTTCAAGGGATGCTACATTTATGGATGAAAACCTAATAAGAAACCTTCAAGAACAGTTGCAACTAGCAAATAAAGTAAGCATATTGAAACATTTGCTTTGATTGTACTTTTATGTCTATGTTCTAGTAGTCCTAAGTTGCCTTTCAATTTAGGCGCATTCATTTATGACACATTTTTGATACAGCTGAAAATTGTGGTTTAAGTTTTTAATATTAGCATTTAAATTTTAAACTTGTTTTTAATGTCAAGACATAGATATAAAACAATATTATATCTAAATTTTGAATATCTAATGACAATAAGAAAGATAACACACTAATATTAGTGAGATATTTTATTGTCATTAATTAACAGGCACAGAGATGTTTCTATTTATAATATAAATTCACTACTATAATAGATATAAAATAAAATTCTTTTCAGACATTTGATACTTAAAAACAAATGGAAAGAAAAATTCTAACATTCTTTTTTCAATCTTTCAATTTTAAGGAAAAGGAACATGTCCTAGAACTTTGGCAGATGGTATCACAAGAATTGGAGCGACTTCAACAGATATACCAGGAGCACATGACAGAAGCACAAATTCATATCGTGGAAAGGCAGAAGCAAAAAGTAATGTACTGATACATGTGCATTAAAATAAATTAAGATGAAGACAATTGTTTTTCCACTAGTTCAAGATTTTAGAGATAGCCAGGTTTTTTTTGTAAAGGAGCATTTTTAATGGTCTTAGTCATAGAGTAGGCATTTGGTTGAGATGGGTGGTATATAAAGTTGATGGTAGGTAGACAGACAAACAGACATACCAGAGAACAGACTATTTGTGAGGTGGCAGAAGGAGTATTTTTTTAAAATTTTGTTTTTACTGTTTAGGAAAGAAATGTAAAGCTCAAAAGATATATTTGGAAAGCCCAAGATGGTTAATGTTTGTATGTAAAAATGGTCCTTTCAGTTTATGTTACATCCCTAACATAAGGTTTGCACCTGAATGCATATTTAGAAAAGGGACATTGTTTGCTTGATTTTGAGATCTCGTTGATTTTCAAACATTTGTTCCAGGATTATCTGTGAATCATTTATTAAATATAGAAATATACTTTGATTATAAGTATACTTTATTCACTTAAAAACTTTTAAATCTTGTTGCAGAAATATATTATGTTTTTTACAGTCTTTCAAATGAAGGTATTTACTCTGTTACAGCTAAGTCTCAGACATGTACCTATGCACACGTAACCTATACACACAACCACAAAATATTAGAAAAATGAATACTGTAGATCAGGTGTGTCAAACTGAATTTCATTGAGTGCCGCATCAGCATTGCGGTTGCCCTTGGGGGGCTGGGTGGGTGTGGCCAGGGCGGGTGCGGCCTACTGGGTGGGCGTGGATGGAGTGGGTGTGGCCTACTGGGTGCACGTGGCCAGCTCTACATTGTTTGCGTCAAGGGTACCTGTGGGGGCCTGGGCAGGAGTGCGACAGATCTGAGGGTCTCTGGCAGAAGGGGATGGGACCAGGGCAAGTGCCAAGGCATGGTCCACTGGAGGAGCCTCACTGTTCCTCTCAGGCCTCTCAGGCCATGTGGGACGGCTGGATGGTGCGGGCTGCCCAGAGCCCTGGGCAGCAAAGGTCAAACACCCAGCCTGGCCCTTGACACCTGCGGCACTGAGCCCAGCCCCACTTCCCCTTCCTGCCCTTATCTCCTCCTCAAGGCTGCTACTGCTGTGCTTGCTCTCCTTACCTAGGTTGCTCATGATGGGTACAAGGCCAAAGTCAGAGGGAGGCCCATTCCCTCTCCATGGGAGGAGACCTGGCTTTGTATCCAAAGCTTCCTTAGCAATAGGATGGGAGATCCCCAAGATAGGCCAGGAGGAGGGGGCAAGGAGAAGGTGAAAGGGCAGCAAGGTAGGACTAAGGCAGGACTTCCCTCAGACCCTCCCTCTCCTTCTTTCCTTCCTAAGTACAGAGTGGTGGAAAATGTTTGAGATGAGGCAGGGAGAAAAACACAAGAAATGCAGCTGGGGAGGTGTCACCCTTTATGAGGAATGAAGAAATGCATCATCGCCTGGAAGTGGCCAGCACATGGCCCTCACCTACTTCATATATCTGGCTTGGTGGGCTCTGGGGCAGGGATGCCATGAGCAGCATGAGATCAATGTTACTTGTGCAATGCCGCCCAGCCCCCAGCCTGCCCGGTTTCGTCAGGCAGCGAGACGCTCTCCTCACAGCGCTGAGGTTGAGGTGGGCGGTGCGAAGCTCACCCACTTTGCATCTTGCTCCCTGCTGAAACTGGGCTGGGCAGCATTGCACTTTTCATCAGATTTGCACCACCCAGCTCAGCTCTTGGCACTGTGAGTTGACTGCCCCGCTGGCTGCTGAAACTGGGCAGGCTGGGAGCTGGGCGGCGTTGCGCTTCTTTTTGGATTTGCGCCGTCCGGCTCAGCCTCTCGGCGCTGTGAGGAGAGTGTCCCACTGCCGACCGAAACCCCTCCCCCAGAGCCCATCAAGCCGGATATGTGAAGTAGGCGAGGGCCATTTGCTGGCCACTTCCAGGCGATGGTGCATTTCTTCATTCATCACAAAGGGTGACACCTCCCCAGCATGCACCCAGGAGGTGCAGCTGACATGGCAGGGGCTGGTTCTTTACTGTTTCCAGACGGCCTTGTGGAGCTAAGACTGAATGCGTTTCAGCATAGATGGCCACCACAAAATTGTACATTGGCTCCCGGCCAGCCTGTTTCCTCACTGTTTCCAGGATGGCTTTGCGGGCCACATGAAACCACTTCGCGGGCCATATCTGGCCCCTGGGCCTTGTTTTTGACATGTCTGCTATAGATCATTCCTGCTTTATGCTATTGTATAATTAATTTTTTTAAAAATAAATTAGCTGACTCTCAAATCTGGACAACATCCACTAGTAATGTTATACTTTACTACTTAAATTAGTACGTAATACCTAAATATTTAATTTATTATGTTTGAACATTTATTTTTATGTTGATAAATCTTCTAGATTGTCATTCCAATGCACTGTATTATCTTCTTTCTAGGATCAGTTGTCAAGTTTTCAACAGCTAACAAAACAACTGCATTTTGCTAATGAAAAAACTGAGTCAGTAAGTGAAATACTGAAATTTTAATAGCATTATTTTGGACTAGTCATAGCAGAAAAATTTAAAAGAAAATACATTTTCCCAACACAACTTTTCATAAAGATTGTCTTAACATTTTTTACTTACATATTTATAAGTTGTATTATATAGTGGCTTATACTCTATTTTTAATCTGTTCTAATTTAATTGCTACTTGGAGAGCAAGTAGTTGTTCCTGATTTAGGAAAATGTGCTTTTCCTGAAAAATTAAGATTTTGTTTGACAGTCCATGATTACCAAGTTTTAATGCCTATTACTTTGACTATTCAGTATTAGTTTAAAATATTTTCTTTTCTTCTCTGTTTCTGCCTTTAATGATATGACTCTTGGAAGCAAATGAAGTGAGAAGCTTTTTTTCTTAAAAGCAAAAACAAAGAATGTGAGTGAAATATAAACTAGTGAAACAAAATTTCAATCAGGTACCAACAAAGCAAGAAGGAGTTCATTTTTTTAACGTAGGTGACTGAAAGTAATGACTAATGCTGGTGCATCTAAAACAAAATAAGAGCCTTGAAATGCCATTGAGTTTAGAACAAAGACTATGTATTGACAATTTTAGAAGTCTCAATAAAGTATCGACAATTTTAAAAGTTTCAATGAAATAAAGTCAATAGCACATAACTATGAATTTTATTATAATCATGGTTAGTGGAAAGAGACAGATTTTGTGCTGCTCCTAAAGAAAGTACAGGTAGTCTTGTTTAACAATTTTAATTGGGACTGGCAATTCATTCCTAAGCAAAGCAGTTATGTGGGAAATTACATGACCACAACATGTTTTCCAGTATAAAGGGATAAGACTAGTCAGTTTCATATCTTAGGTTTTTGTTTCCCTCCTAATCACTCTCCCTCACTTTGGGACATTCAAGTACCTGCTTACTGTCTTGTACACATCAAAAGCAATGTGATCGCACCTCAGTCCTCTTTCGCTCTGCAAGGGCAGTGGGGAAAAATGCAAGTATTTCTGTAGGCAATGTCTCCTTCGCCTGTCCCTTTCCTGCTGCTGGTATGACTGCATTGCTCTCAATGTGTAAAGAGCAAACTGCTTTTTTGAAATTTCTCTGCTCTGCAGGAGAAGGGGGGAAGCAAACAATTTTGGTAGACAATCTCTCTTTGTGAGCTTCAGTTGCTTGAGGATATACTAGACCCTGAGTGTCTGCATTCCTAGCCCAGTACCTTAACTATACTAGCCTACTGGCTCTCATGCTTTATTCATTTTAACAGCTGTGCAATATATTTAAAAATAATTTTGTTTACAGATTAATCAGGTATTTCTGAAAACTGTAATGGAACAAAATGTAGAGCTGGAACAGCTGCACAAGCAACAAAGGTATAAACTTCTAAATCTTCAATTATTTTTTAAAAACGGGCTAGCACATAGATAATGGTCCAATCTGTACAATGAGTCTTTTCAAAAATATTTTATGGCTTACTACAGGGGTCTCCAACCCCCAATCTGTGGCCCAGTACCAGGCCGCAGCATGCCAGGAACCGGTGTGCACAAACAAGCAAAGCCCCATCTGCAGGATGCAGGCAGCACACAAAACCCCGCACTCTCTGGTCTGTGGAAAAACCTCTCCCCATGGAACCAGTCCATGGTGCCCAAAAGGTTGGGGACCTCTGGCTTACTGTATATCATTAGGTGGAAGTTTATAGCTACCTGTGGAAATGTAACATTGTGAGCAAATGCTGACCTCTATCACAGTGGTTCTCAACCTGTGGGTCGGGACCCCATTTGGGGTCAAACGACCATTTCACGGGGGTCGCCAAACAACGCAGTCCGCCATTTTTTCCCCCTTTTCCTTAGCTGTGCTACTCCCTTTTATTCTATTGGCTTTTGAAAGCCAATAGAATAGACTCTCTTGAATAGAGTCTAATTCTATTGGCTTTCAAAAGCCAATAGGAATTGTCCAGGCTGTCTCTGCCCTGCTGAGCCCACCAAAAGTCCCATTCTGCAAACGGTGCTGCACCAGTTGAGTAGTCCTCTACTTACGACTGGTTGAGTAATCCTCGACTTACGACCGGTTGGGGGTCGCGGCATTAAAAAGGTTGAGAACCACTGCTCTATTAGAACTTCAGTAGATAATGAAGAAAGCCTTTCCACTGTAATAAATGTGTGCTGTTACTTCATATACTGTGTTTGGGGTAGAAAATTATTCACACCAAAATTTTCTTTTTATCACACACTGATGAGCAGATCTTTTGAGAAATGAACTGCCATTTGGAAATGCTGTAAAATATGTCCACAAAGAAATAATAAATTAGACCAAGATGTGACTTTTTCTGTGCAATAATTTGTTGAGCAAGAGCATAATTTCATCTATATGCAATTTTTTTCTTAATCTCGAACATGGAATGGTAATGTAAAAACATGATATTTGTTTAGCCAATGTATTTCTTATTTAGAGAAGTTTATCTTTTCAATATGCAGACAATCCAAACTGAATTTGAGAACAACAGTTGCAAAAGCTGATGAAATGATGAGACTCATTGAGGATCTTCGCAGCCAATTAAACAGAAAGGTGGAACACATCCTTTCTCAATTTTCAAATTAGAAGTTCACATTTCTGGACTCTTGTTTCTGCTAGACACAAAATTGTTCTAAAAATCTCTGACTTTTCTGGTGTTTAGGAAGAAGAGGTCCTAGCTGCTCGGGAAAAAGAGGAAGCATCAGATAAACGCTTGCAAGAATTGCAGTCAAGCATAAAACAATTAGAGACAAGGTAGATTATTAAATTATTCAATAATAACTTCCACTTTAACACTATAATCCTATATATGTTTGGTTTTTGTTGTATGATCAGATATTTAATTTCAGAACATATTTGTGTAGAACAGGCGTGTCAAACTCAATTTCATTGAGGGCCGCATCAGCACGGCGGGTACCCTTGGGGAGCCGGGTGGGTGTGGCCAGGGTGGGTGAGGCCTACTGGGTGCGTATGGATGGAGTGAGTATGGCCTACTGGGTGCATGTGGCCAGCTCTACATTGTTTGTGTCAAGGGTGCCTGTGGGGGCCTGGGCAGGAGTGCGACAGATCTGAGGGTCTCTGGCAGAAGGGGGTGGGACCAGGGCAAGTACCAAGGCATGGTCCACTGGAGGAGCCTCACTGTTCCTCTCAGGCCATGTGGGGTGGCTGGATGGTGGTACAGGCTGCCCAGAGCCCTGAGCAGCAGAGGTCAAATGCCCAGCCTGGCCCTCGAGCACCTGTGGCACCAAGCCCAGCCCCACTTCCCCAAGGGGGCGCCCAGCTGTCCTTACCTCCTCCTCAAGGCTGCTACTGCTGTGCTTGCTCTCCTTACCCAGGTTGCTCATGATGGGTACAAGGCCAAAGTCAGAGGGAGGGCCATTCCCTCTCCATGGGAGGAGACCCGGTTTTGTATCCAAAGCCTCCTTAGCAATAGGATGGGAGACCCCCCAAGATAGGCCAGTAGAAGGGGGCAAGGAGATGGTGAAAGAGCAGCAAGGCAGGACTAAGGCAGGACTTCCCTCAGACCCTCCCTCTCTTTCTTTCCTTCCTAAGTACAGAGTGGTGGAAAATGTTTGAAATGAGGGAGGGAGAAAAACAGACAAGAAACGCAGCTGGGGAGTTGTCACCCTTTATGAGGAATGAAGAAATGCACCATCACCTGGAAGTGGGCAGCACATGGCCCTCACCTACTTCATATATCTGGCTTGGTGGGCTCTGGGGCAGGGGATGCCATGAGCAGCATGAGAGTCAACGTTACCTGTGCAATGCCGCCCAGCCCCCAGCCTGCCCGGTTTCGGCAGGCAGCGAGGCATTCTCTTCACAGCGCCGAGGTTGAGCCAGGTGGTGCGAAGCTCACCAGCTTTGCACCTTGCTCCCTGCTGAAACTGGGCAGCCTGGGGGCTGGGCAGCATTGCACTTTCATCAGATTCGCACCACCCAGCTCAGCTCTTGGCACTGTGAGTTGAGTGCCCTGCTGGCTGCTGAAACTGGGCAGGCTGGGAGCTGGACGGCGTTGCGCTTATTTTTGGATTTGTGCCGCCCTGCTCAGCCTCTCGATGCTGTGAGGAGAGCGCCCCACTGCCGGCCGACCGAAACCCCTCCCCCAGAGCCCATCAAGCCGGATATGTGAAGTAGGCGAGGGCCATTTGCTGGCCACTTCCAGGCGATGGTGCATTTCTTCATCACAAAGGGTGACACCTCCCCAGCATGCACCCAGGAGATGGGGCTGATGCAGCAGGGGCTGGTTCTTCACTTTTTCCAGATGGCCTTGTGGAACTAAGACTGAATGCGTTTCAGCATAGATGGCCACCACAAAATTGTACATTGGCTCCCAGCTGGCCTGTTTCCTCACTGTTTCCAGGATGGCTTTGCGGGCCACATGAAACCACTTCACGGGCCGCATCCGGCCCCCGGGCCTTGTGTTTGACATGTCTGGTGTAGAACATATACAATCAATATAATTAATTTTATGCAATGAATTTTAATTATTATTTTTGTGGCCCTCAAGAATAAACATTCAGTTCATTCAATATTGGCTTGCCTCAAAAATGTCTGCAAAATTGGTTGGAGTTTGATGGCTACCTTGGGTTTTCGGGTTTTCAATCAATTACAAATATGCCAACTTGGATTTATCCAGTCAAAAATATTTTTAATGTTTAGCCCAGATTTCAAACTCTTCTTGAAAAAAGTAACCTGAAAATTTAAGAAGCATTTTACTAAATTAGAAAGATTTAGAGAGAAATAAATATTAAAAGGTTTATAAGGGGAATAAAATTCCATAATCAAAATTAAAGGTTATTACTAGTTTGTCAAAAGTTTTCCTATGGGCAGGCGGTACCAGTGGTTAATTGTATTTTGTATGAATAAATGGAAAATAAAAACTTTTTTAATAAAAAAAAAGTTTTCCTATTTCTGGATATCTGAAATTTCACTACAGTATTACGATAACAATGAAAACTACTCGAAAGATGCTGAAAAAGATGCTACCACAAGAGGATTTGATTTCACCACGTTAGAGAAGAGACTTAATCTAATCTTACCAGATCTTGAAAGATAGGACATCTATTTTAATTGCAGTCTTACCTAAATTTAATCTTAACCTACATTTAACAGTCAATTGGTCCCTGTTCCACTGTGCAGACTTTGTATAGCTACAAAAGATTCCAAACAGCTAAGATCAGAAAGAACAAATCTTGAAAAAAAAATTCAGGAGCTGCAAACGAAGTGTGTGAATATAGAAGAAGAGAAGTATGATGCTGTAGCAAAGGTCCGAGATAGCATGCAACTCATAGAAGAAGCTAATCTCCAGAAGAGTCAGGTGATTAATTTATTCTATATGTTTGTGGAATAACTGCTTTGAACTTAATTAAGTTAATCTATTTTTCTATTAAACACAAATAGCTGTATCATTAGGGTTATGGCTTGACCTACCTTCGGTAGGATGTTTTTACTAGAATATGACCCATTCTTTCCAATTCTAGGCAATGCTATCAGAGAAACAAAAAGAAGAGGAAATTGAAAATATGAAACAAGCAGTTTCTCAGCTGCTTCAGGATGCTGCTTTAAGAACTAGGAAAGAAGTAAGCAGTCATGCTTAAAACTTATTTTCTACACATTTTGTTCTTGTAAATTAAATTAATAATACTGATATTGTTACTTTGAAAGCTAAATATTTGAAAGTTATCTCAGTTGAAATATGCAGCTTTTTGTCTGTAGATAATTCAGGTAATTTTGTGAATGGCCCTTTGTTATTGGGAGAAGAAATTATAGGTGTTACAGTCCATGTAATTCAGCAGGCAGAACAAGAATTTTTGGACACATTCTCCTTCAAACCCCCCCCCCCCAAGAGACTTGCAGATTACTTCAGTGGGGCAGGTTAGAAATGTAGTTGCTAAAAATCCCAGCTCACTGCAAGCCACTATGTCTGATTTTCTGGAATACCCCTGCATCTTCAACAGGTTTTTCAAATGCCTTGAGTAGCAAGTTCAAAGGGCTGGAGGAGCTGTTTGGAAGAGGAGATGGAGGATGCTTGTGCCCTTCCATTAATGGACACCTATATTTGGACATTGCTTAGCTCTGAAAGTTATATAGAAACTCTACTGATAATTAGCATATTTTTCTTAGCATATTGCAGCCTCTTGTACTCCTAAAAATGTATTATATAATCAAGTAAGGAAACATCCATTGGACATGGAATAATACACCTTTTTAAAAAAAAAAATAGGTGGAAAATGAGAGGAAACGATACAATATTCAAATTTCACGCTTAACAGAAGAACTTACTGCACTTCAGATGGTAAGTTATACATTTTGCTTAATTAACTGTCTAAAGTAGCCCCCAGGTGAGATAGGCAGCAAATAAATTTAACAAAAAAATACAAGTTTACATTCTGGTCTTTTCTTCCTATGTTAACTTTCACCAAGGAAAAATAAGCATTTTAAAATTCAGTGTCACAAAGCAATACCCAATTTCACTACTTCAGTTTGTGCAGGAAAAAAAATCTTCCATGTCTAAGCATTCACAATTCCCTTAAATGTAATGATCAAAATACTTTTTCATGTGGGATGCTACTATTTGGAGGAGCAAATACAAAACAGATAATATACCTTACTTGTTAAACTTCTGGATAAAATAAACACATCATCAAGCTTTGTGGTTATTCGTAAAAAACACGGCTTACAAATGTTTTGTTCAGATAGCATCTTTAACATATCTTATACCTTTTTAAAAAGAGAAATAGAGATACATGATGGTTCCAGACTTCACTTTTAGGAATTGCTATGGGAATCAGGGAAGAGATCTAAATCCCTCTTTTGTTGAACGTGTGATTTGAAGGAAATTACTCTGAAATATAACTTGAAAATTACAAAACCATCTAATTTAATCCTGTATTACTCCAGTACAGATAATATAGAAAAAGATTAAAGGTAAAATTCAGAAAGGTAAAGGAAGTTTACAGTAAATGGAATTTGTGGCAATTTCATAGATCATAGATTAAGTACTTGAGGACAGGCTTCATTATTTATCCTGATTTTGTTTGCTACATACACCTACAGTTATATGTCACTTACTGATTTCTAAAAAATATATTCTATTATTGCTTTACAGGAATGTGGAGAAAAGCAAAGCCAACTAGAACGAGCTATTAGAGAAAAGCGAGCAGTTGAAGAAGAACTAGAGAAGGCAAAATCTTTTTTATTTTCCACCATTTTCATGCATTAATGTTATAATGTACACGCTAATAAGTATGTCATTTTTAGGGTGTAGAAATATTAACCTTGGTCACATGAGACAGATTGAAAAGAATCAAAGCATTCACATCATTTAGATATGAATAAAAATATGGTGTCATGAAAAGAGTGCTTGGGCATTGTACCAGCAGAAGTTGACTTAATGTCATGTAATGCTGTTCAGTATTTTTTTACCCAGATAACTTGAGCTGAACGAAAAACGAATTGCCTGTGACTCATGAAACTCACAAAAGCTCTCTACAAGATAGAATGGCTAAAACTCACATCAAACTCACTTAAATCAGTAAAAATGAACTAAGAAAAGAAGATCTGTGAAAATATCAGATCATCAGTTCTCATACGATAACAATGTTAATTAAAAGCAATTATACTAATAATAAGATGATAATGAACACAATACAGTCAGTGGAAAGCGTGATTAAACAAGTATAGGTTCTTTAACAACCAAAGTCCTTCTTTTAGCAACCAGTTACAATAGTGCTAAACAAGTGATGGTTATAACCAGTCTTCAAAGTTTTGACCATCCAGCCGCAGTCACATAATTGCAATCTGGGTGTTTGGCAACTGGATCACACTTATGAGGCTTGCAGCATCTTGTGGTCATGTGATATCAATTTGTAATGTTCTCTGCCAACCTTCTACAAGCAAACTCAATGGGGAAGCCAGTAGGGAAAGTGGCAAGTTGTGTGGGTAAGTCTCTTCCAACAGTGCATCCCTTTCCAGCCTCTCTGCACTCATGCTCAGTCCACACCTTCACCAGCTGTGCATCTTCCCCAAGCTTTGCTGAGCTTGTGCCATATTTCCTCACCACTTGCATACCTTCTTCCACCCAACATTAGCCACCTTAAGCCACATATGTCTCTTGCCACCCCGCCATCTGCCCACCCTCCTGGTGCCCCTCTGCCCTAGGGCTGTGCCTCTCCTGCCACCAATACACCCTGATGTACTCTCCCCAAGCTTTGCTGAACTTGCACCACACCTTCCCACCAGTTGTGCACCCTCTTCCACCTGGCACCAGCCATCCCAAGTCCTGCTGGGATGTAGCATATCTTCCCATCAGCACTTACTGTTCACTATCCCCACATTTGTGCCTCTGCCACTCTTGCACCCTCCCTGGCCACTTGGATACCACTGCATGTCCTCCATCCCCAGTAGCAACCACCCCAAGCTCTGCCATATTTGCACTGCCCTGCGTCTCCCTGCTTACCTGCTCACCCTTCCTCGTCTCATTTTCATGCTAGTCCTCACCTGCCACATATACATTTGCCTGCTAAACAGTTACCCCAAGTCCTGCCACACTTTTCTGTGCCTTTCCAAAACCCACACACCCCTTTGCTTCCTTTCCCATCCTATAGCAGCCATTTATCTTCCTGCTGTCTTCCCCACTGATTTCGTTTGTTGGAAGCTGGTAGGAAGTTATGAGAAGATGCTCACTTAACAACTCCCAAACTTCATTTAACAGTGGCAATGGGGACTGCAGAGATTGCCATTACTAATTAAAAGCAATTATACTAATAATTGCTTACATTACACTGTGCTTTATGACCACATTCCTTGATGACAGAAATTCTGGTCCCAGTCAATGCCATACCTGTAGAATATTTGTCTGGTAGATCAAAGCTAATACAATGATGAAATCTTTCTTCAGATATGATAGTCATAATGAAATGATTATCCACTTTCTAAGTTTTGCACAGTAATTGATTTGTCAAATCAGGGATTTTACTGGAACATTGGAATCATATCCTGGTTTAAATTCCTATGTCAGGTATACCGTGAAGGTAGAGGAAATGAAGCTGATTATAGAAAACTAGAAGAGCTTTACCAGAGATGTCTGAATGCTGAACGTACAAAAGATGACCTTTATGTTAGTTTGCAAACAGCACAAAACAAAATTAAGCAACTGGAACTGAAGTAAGTAATGAACATATGCTGCAAACTCATATCTGTTTTATTTTCATTTTTCCCTCTGGAGACTTTTGACCAGAGTTTTATACACTTGCGTTTGTATTGAATTTTACTTTTAAAATTTGCACTATGTAATTATTAAAAAATTTTGGACAACAGAAATATACATTTTTTGTTTACTTCAATTTGTTAAAGTTGTTTATAATCCATCATTCAAGGTAGAACTCCTCCCAAAGTGATTTAGAAAATAATAAACTATAAATAAAATGCAAATAAATTGAATTTAGAAACAGATTTCTTAAGTCCTTTCATACTACAATTCATACTGGGAGATGGGATCTATTTGGGAAGCTTTAAAGATGGTCTTTACCTGTCTGTGCTGAAGAACTTTTTAATGTTTTCCATCTTCTTATGCAAGCAGTTCCTGAAGTATCTTATAAGACATGTGGTTTATAAAAAGTGGACTAACAGATGTGCTACTTTACTATGTCTGTATCACTTGAAGCTTAGGAATAACTTGGAAGAAGTATTCCTGAAATGGAAAAGAGTTCAGAAACCTTGACAATCACAAGGAGTTTGCTTTGTGACTTTGTAGAATCAGTCTGGCTCAGTAGTTAGATTCGAAGAAGTTGGAAGAAAGTTAAATGAAAGCTACTTAATTAAGCCCTCAATTATCATGTTAAACTCTTGGCTTTTATTTTTAATGACTATTGGTCTATCAGCAAGTTAGCTATGTCTCATCTACTTCCTACTCTGGTAGCTCAATCACTATCAAATCTAGTCCCATTAAAACAGTTGGAAGCCAAAGTCAGAGTTTTGAAATATAGCCCTGCCAAAGAACTGCAGAGACATCATTGCACAATGAAAATTGTTCCTGCTTAGGTAGGCATGGAAGGTTTGCAGAGAAACATTTGGTTGTTTTCTTGGCATTGAAGTGGGAGATGAGGGACAGAGTTAAAAATGAAAATAAAGAAAATGAAATAGCACAAGTATACGTTGTCTCTGCTTCCTCTTGGTTTTGTTCCTTCCTCATATATTGTTTATTTTGATATTCGGTCTACTCTTTTTACAACTGCAATATGATTTTTTTCTATATTGTTTGTAGCCATAATTATTTTTAAGCAGTATACTGGGGGGAGTGGGTGCTCACCAGAAGGTAATAGACAGGGCCAGAATAAAAACTGAGTATGATTTGATTACTTTTACAGTTTATTTACATTTAAATATAGTTGAAATAATTACTCTCCAATCAAGTAGTTAATTTCTTCTCTTATAATAAGGTAAACTTGGTAGACTTGTGGATATCTCTCAGAACCATACTGAAGGCTTGGCTCAAAGGTTGAAAAATGAGAGAGAATGTCGGAATTTAATATCAACAGAATGGCCACAAAAAAGTCACAATGTGTCAATGTTGTATGCTTTCAAATCAGCTTTTGACTCCTAGTGATGCCAGGACTAATCCCTGCAGTTTTCTTGGCAAGATTCCTTAAGTGGTTTACAATTGTCTGAGGAAACTGTTAGAAGCTAGCTTTGTGGCTAAGGTGTGATTAAAACTCAGTCTCCAGTTTCTAGCTTGGTACCTTAATCACTACATCAAACTGGCTCTCAGAGTTTGAATACTTCACCCTTACTACTGTATATCAATGAAAAGTAGTTTAGCAGTACTCATTAATTGGCCTGTTTCTGTTGGAAAAGAGTGAACAAAACAATTTACCTACAGGATGCTATGAGGTATTTGCACATTCCACTGGTACAGTTACTTATGTTTGGTCAAGTATTGATTCTTCATTGGAATGATCTGAAGCCCTTTATGTTATCTGGGATTCATCATTGGCTTGAAACTGAAGAAATAGATATGTAAACTGCTTGTGATGGGGTATGGGTGGAGATACTGTTTTTGCAGTAACTTTGTTACTTCCTGTATGGGCAATTAGAGTTGGTGGTGGTATGAGAAAAGACATCAACCTGTTGTTTGCTTTCTTGTGAGGTGCTGGACCATTCTGATCTCTTTTACTTACTCCTTAACATTGTTATGAAACTACTAGAAGTCATCCATCAGTTTGGGATGAAATATTATCAATATGTTAATGATACCCAATTATAAATCATCAGGTTAAATAAGAAATGTGGTAGAGATCTTCATCCAGGCTGGGGACCTTATGATTATCAAAATAAACTTATAAGATGAATATTTTTGACTCTTGACAGTATTGCATTTCCACTGAAAAAGCAGACCTGTAGCTTGGAGGTTGCCCTGGACTCATAGCTACTACAGATAAGGAGGAGCACTTTTGCGGTGCAGAAGCCTTGAGAACAGTAACTCACATTCATATCATCTCAAGTTAGATTACTAAAAATGTGCTTTCTATAAGGCTTCCTTTGAAAAGATACTTCGAAACTGAAGTTAATGCAAAATGTGGCAACCTACATCCTGGAAAGAGAGAACCATATCGTGCCAGTTTGGTTCTTTTTTCTTATAGGTTTATGGGTACAATTCAAAGTGTTAATTTAAACTATGAAGCCCTAAATGACTTGACTCCCAAGTTATTTCTAGAAGTGCTTCTTTAAGTAGAACTAGCCTATCTAGTGCATTCATCTCAAAAGCTTAATGCTTAATACTTCCCCTCTATTCAAAAGGTGGGGGGGGGGGAAACAGAAATCATGTTTCTGATTGCTGCTCTTCCTTCAACCGTTAAACTGCCAGCATGCTGGCATTCAGGTAGGCAATAGTGCAGTCTTTCAAAGAACTTTTGAAAATTAATTATTACCACTAGGTTTAGATGTGACATTGGTAATTATCAACATGTTTTTTTAGTTTATTAATTAATATATGCTTTACTCTTTTATATCTGTAAACTATGCAACTTACACTGGACTATGGTAGCATATGCACATACATGGTAAATACATTTATGTTCAGTGCTTGCTGAGGGTTACTTAAAATACTTCTGACTCTACTGAGTAAAAAAAGGAAACAAAATGCCAAATATTACTATATTTAATGTAGTCTAAAGTCTATGTGTGATTTCAGTACATATTTTAAACTGACCATATAAAGTGTAATTCATTTTAAGATATGAAGAAGAGAGATGCCGTTGTCAAAAAAATATGTGCAAGCTGCAAAGTATTCTGGATTCTGAAAGGGAGAAAAGTGGAACTATAAGTGAAGAGCGCTTAAAGCTGCAACAAGGGAATGAACAGCTTCAAAAAGAAATGGAAACCTTGAAAAAGCTCACAATGGAAGCACAACACACTGCAAAATTAAAGGTATTGTTTTTTATATAATACTTCAGAATTGATGCAAGTTGTTTGGATTTGAATCTGCAAGGAACAAGACAGTATTGCCTCACAACCTCTTTTTAAAATGAATTTAAATTGACTTTTACAATGATATCAGAAACTATTGTAATCAATCTAGAAATGTAAGCAAGAGTCCAGGAATTGCCAGTGAAGAAGAGGAGAGGAGAGGATGAAGTCTTCTAGTCCAACCCCCTGTCCATTCAGGACAAATCCAATCTATTCTTTAAAAACCTCCAATGATGGAACACCCACAACTTCTGAAGGGAAGCCATTCATTGTTTTGTTTAATTGTTGTCATTGTCAGGAAATTTCTCCTTAGTTCTAGGTTGAAAACTCTTTGATAGGTTTCCTTCTGTTACTTCTTATCTTGCCTTATCTTTGGAGAATAGATTGTTCCCTTTTTCTTGGTGACAACCTCTCAAATATTGGAAGACTGTGTTCATGTCACCCCTAGTGCTTCTCTTTGTTAGTCTAGAGATACCAGCTCTTGCAACCATTCATCATATATTCCAGCCTCCATCCCCCTAATCATCTTTGTTCTTCTCTACTTTATTTATTTATTTTTCATTTTTTTGTATTAACTTTCCATCTTTCTCTTTTGTATATTGTGATAACCAGAACTGGACACAAAATTCTAAGTGTTGTCTTACCAAGGCAGTATATAGCGGTACTAATACTTTACATGATCTTGATACTATTTCTCTGTTGATGCAACCTAGGACTGCACTGCCTTTTTTTGCATCTGCTGGCTCATGTCATTGTCTACTAGGAGTCCTAGATCCCTCTCACAGTTACTGCTGTTGAGTCAGGTACCGCCTATTCTATATCTGTGCATTTGGTTTTTCTTGCCTAAGTGTAAAGCCTTAGTTTTCTTGCCACTGAATTGTATTTTGTTAGATAGAGCCTAGTGTTCAAGTCTGGATCTTGAATCTACAGTGAGGGAAAAATTATTTGATCCCCTGCTGATTTTGTATGTTTGCCCACTGACAGAGGAATGATCAGTCTATAATTTTAATGGTAGGTTCATTTTAACTATGGGAGAGAGAATAACAATAAAAAAGATCCAGAAGAACGCATTTCAAAAAAGTTATAAATTGATTTGCATTTTAATGAGTGAAATAGGTATTTGATCCCCTATCAATCAGCAAGATTTGTGGCTCCCAGATGTCTTTCATACAGGTAACGAGCTGAGATTAGGAGCGCTCTCTTAAAGGGAGTGCTCCTAATCTCAGCTTGTTACTTGTATAAAAGACACCTATCCACAGAAGCAATCAATCAATCAATCAGATGTCAAACTCTCTACCATGGTCAAGACCAAAGAGCTGTCCAAGGATGTCAAGGACAAGATTGTAGACTTACAAAAGGCTGGAATGGCCTATAAGACTATCGCCAAGCAGCTTGGTGAGAAGGTGACAATAGTTGGTGCGATTATTCGCAAATGGAAGAAACTCAAAATAACTGTCAATCTCCCTGGTTCTGGGGCTCCATACCAGATCTCACCTCGTGGAGTTTCAATGATCATGAGAACGGTGAGGAATCAGCCCAGAACTACAGGGAGGATCTTGTCAATGATCTCAAGGCAGCTGGGACCATAGTCACCAAGAAAACAGTTGGTAACATACTACTCCATGAAGGACAAAAATCCTGCAGTGCTCACAAAGTCCCCTTGCTCAAGAAAGCACATATACAGGTCCATCTGAAGTTTGCCAATGAACATCTGAATGATTCAGGGGAGAACTGGGTGAAGGTGTGGTGGTCAGATGAGACCAAATTAGAGCTCTTTGGTATCAACTCAACTTGCCGTGTTTGGAGGAGAAGAATGCTGCCTATGACCCCAAGAACACCATCCCCACCATCAAATATGGAGGTGGAAACATTATGCTTTGGGGGTGTTTTTTTGCTAAGGACAGAACTTCACCACATCAAAGGAACGATGGACGAGCCCATGTACATCAAATCTTGGGTGAGAACCTCCTTCCCTCAGCCAAGGCATTGAAAATGGATCTTGGATGGATATTCTAGCATGGCAATGATCCAAAATATATGGCTATGGCAACAAAGGAGTGGCTCAAGAAGAAGCACATTAAGGTCCTGGAGTGTCCTAGCAGTCTCCAGACCTTAATCCCATAGAAAATCTGTGGAGGGAGCTGAAGGTTCGAGCTGCCAAACGTCAGCCTCAAAACCTTAATGACTTGGAGAGGATCTGCAAAGAGGAGTGGGACAAAATCCCTCTTGAGATGTGTGCCAACCTGGTGTCCCAAGTACAAGAAACATCTGACCTCTGTGATTGCTAACAAGGGTTTTGCCCCCAAGTACTAAGTCATGTTTTGCAAAGGAGTCAAATACTAATTTCACTCATTAAAATGCAAATCAATGTGTTTTTCTGGATATTTTTGTTGTTATTCTGTCTCTCATTGTTAAAATAAACCTACTATTAAAATTATAGACTGATCATTTCTTTGTCAGTGGGCAAACAAAATCAGCAGGGGATCAAATAGTTTTTTTCCCTCACTGTATCTTCTAAAGCAGTGGTTCTCAACCTTTGTAATGCCGTGATCCCCAACCGGTCGTAAGTCGAGGACTACTCAACTGGTGCAGCACCGTTTGCAGAATGGGACTTTTGGCAGGCTCAGCAGGGCAGAGACAGCCTGGACAATTCCTATTGCTTTTGAAAGCCAATAGAATTAGACTCTATTCAAGAGAGTCTATTCTATTGGCTTTCAAAAGCCAATAGAATAAAAGGGAGTAGCACAGCTAAGGAAAAGGGGAAAAAATGGCGGACAGCGTTGTTTGGTGACCCCTGTGAAATGGTCGCTCGACCCCAAATGGGGTCCCGACCCACAGGTTGAGAACCACTGTTCTAAAGTGTTGGCCATTCCCTCTAGCTTGGTGTAGTCTCCAAATTTGATGAATTCCCCTTCTATCCCCTCATCAAAATTGTTTATGAAGATATTAAAGAATACTGAACCTAAGTCAGAACCTTGGGGTACCCCGCTGTATACTTTCCATCATGTAGATTAGTAGATGTATTTCCATTTAGGACTACATGTTGAGTGTGGTTTGTCAACCAGTTATGAATCCATCTGATGGTGATGCTATCTATCCCACATTTTTGTGTCTTACCAACAAGTAGGTTGTGGTCTACTTTGTCAAATGCCGTACTGAAGTCCAAGTGCACTATGTCCATAGCATTTTGCTGGTCCACTAATTTAGTCACTTTGACAAAGAATGCAATAAGATTTGTTTGACATTATCTGTTTTTGACAAGTCCATGTTGGCTTCTTTTAATGGCTTTGCTTGCTTCTAGATCTTTGCAGATCCAGTGCTTGATTATATTTTCCAGGATCTTCCCAGGTATTGATGCCAGATCAATTGCTCCATAGTTTCCTGGATCCATTTTTTCTCTGTTTTGAAGATGGGAACAACATTAGCTCTTTTCCAGTCTTCTGGTAGTTCCCTGGTTTTCCAGGATTTTTGAAAGATATGGTTAGTTGTTCCAAGATCACATCTGCCAGCTTTCTCAGAATTCTGGGATGTAACCCATCTGGTCCTGGTGATTTGAACTCGTCTAGAGTGAACAGGTGTTGTCTTACCATTTTCTTGAATATTTTGACTTGTATTCCTAGTCTGTCATTCACAGTTCTGCTTTCAACAGGTTGGCCTATTTTTTCTCTTTTGCATGAAGACAGATGCAAAGAATGATTTAAGCATTTCCACTTCCTTCCTACTGCCCGTCACTCCCTTGCCATCTTCTCTCACTATTGGCATTGTTCCAAGAGAATAAAAGTATTATTAATAGATAGCTTTATGATTCAGACTTCTATATGATATATTGCTTTTCTCTTTTCCATCTTTTCCATTGGTTTTCTTCTTGGTTTTGTTAACATTTGTACATTTATAAAGGACAGGGGACTCTTTTGATATTAGTTTTAAATATTCTTTTATAATCTCTTTTAGTTCCCCAATTGCTCCCAGGCTTGTCTTTTGTTCTGTAAACTGTTGTCTCCCTTCCTTTTGTAGTTTAAGTTTGCACATATTCATACTTCAATAATAGAGAATAGTTGGCTGAAATCATAAAGTCTTTTAGGATAAAGATGTGAGGGTGAGTGTTACAAAGATAAACTGGAGTTTCAAATTAAAATGAGCAGAGTAAAAGATTAAAGATATACTCATCTAGAAATCCTTATTACTTTCTATGAATGACCATAGAATAACAGTTATTTTTTTTCTAACAGATAAGTACAATGGAGAATGAACATTTATTAAAAGAATATGGGTTTGAAATTCGATTGAAAGAGATGGAAGATGTAAATCAAAACTCAGTAACTGAGCTTAGACGCCTGTTGATAGTTCAACAAAAAGCAACAAATCGCTGGAAGGAAGAAACAAAGAAAATAACAGAAATAACTGAATCCAGAATAAATACTCTAAAGTAAGGTTTTTTTTTTCTTTGACATTTTTAAATAATCTAGACATTGTATCAAGAAAGGATAATAGATTATTATGCTTGTACCTGTTTAGATTTTAATATTACTTATTTTTTATTAAAATCCTGCAACAGTAGCAAAAAAGAGTGAATCACAAATAAGTCTGAGCATGAGAGATAACGATATAAACTATATTGTCTCATCAACAAGCAATATTACAGTACAAAGGGGGAAAAACCCCTAAATTCTCTATTGTAGAAAATCAATTTTGGTTCCAAATCAAGACCATATATTCTGGTATTCTGAAGTAAAATAGTGCTACATTATAAAGTGAAGTATGCTACGTTATAAAATATTAACTATGAGAATGGATAAGAATTTGAAACTAGTAATCAGGATTTTGGAATATATCCATATGTGTTGATTTTAAAAGGCCTTAGTCACCGAGATGAATAGAGAAATTGTTACACAGAGGAAATGGGTACTGAATTAAGTCTGAATTGCAAAGGACTGTCTTCAATACTAACTTTTCATGAATCGGTGACAATAATGCAGGTAATCCTGAACTTAGAACCGCAACTGACACAAAATTTCCATTGCTAGGCATGACAGTTACATGAGATCTGACCCATTTTACAACTTTTCCTGCCACAGTTGTTACTGCAGGATCGCTGCAGTTAAGTTAGTAACACATTTGTTAAGTGAATATAGCTTCCCCGTTGACTTTACTTGTCAGAAAGTTGCAAAAGGTGATCATATGACCCAGAGATACTGCAACCATTGTAAATATATGCCAGTTGCTAAGCATATGTAGATTTATCACATGATCATGGGGATGCCGCAGTGGTTTAAGTATGAAAAACAGTCATAAGACACTTTTTTCAGTGCCATTATAACTTTGAAATGTCATTAAACAAATAGTTATTATAGGACTACCTGTAATAACAAGATTCTGACTGTCTTTTCTCCTTTCCTATGAACACTGTTTTCCCAGCCTAGAGTTATTCCTTCTCATAATTATGCTCATTTCTTCCTCTAGCTTGTGATTTATATTCTCTCACATATTGCATCAAGTACAGCATAGGTGGCACCTTGCTCAATAGTAGTAACTGTGAAAGGGACCTCAGAGTCCTAGTAGATAATCACCTAAATATGAGCCAGCAATGTGCTGCAGCTGCCAAAAAGGCCAACATGGTGCTAGGCTGCATTAACAGAGGGATAGAATCAAGATCATGTGAAGTGTTAATACCACTTTACAATGCCTTGGTAAGGCCACATTTGGAATACTGCATCCAGTTTTGGTCACCGCAATGTAAAAAAGATGTTGAAACTCTAGAAAGAGTACAGAGAAGAGCAACAAAGATGACTGGAGGCTAAAACATATAAGGAATGGTGCTGGAATTGGATATGTCTAGTTTAATGAAGGACGAGGGGTGACATGATAGCTGTATCTCAGGGGCTGCCACAAAGAAGTGGGAATCAAGCTGTTCTCCAGAGCGTCTGAAGGCAGGACAAGAAGCAACGGATGGAAACTGTAAGGACCCACCCCACTTTGCATCTTAAGAAGACAGAACTCTTGGAATAATTCTTCCAACAGGAATCCTTTATTAAGAAGAAATGGTTGCAGGCATGCTAGACAGGACTTGGGGTTCAAGCTCTCCCATTCAAGGTTTTAAGGGGTTCCTCAGTAGTCCCACCCAATCAACCCCCCTTCCAGTGATAGTTTCAAGTATCACAATTCCACCCCCTTTCTTCTTTCTTCCTCTGGATGGAGACTTCAGATAACTACATGAAAGGCAAATACCCTTCTTTGTTATGATAAGGTCCTCTGGTGCTAACGCTTTGAGGTTACAATAAACACACATTCAGCATTCAGCTCTTTGAAGTGTACTGAAGGAAGTGAGGGCCATAAAGCCCCTTTGTTCTCCCCCTTCTCTCCCTCTTATGGCAGAATCCAGAGAAGACAGAATTGGGAGTTTCTATATTTGATAATTAAAGATGAAATATAATTGGATTCTGACATCCGGCCTCTCTTAAAAATAAGAGAGATCCACCTGAAAGAAAACACAAGTATAAAATTTAGTCAGGCTTGTTAGGATACTCTGTGTGAAACTTCTTCAATAGCTTCGGGGCTCTGACATGACGTTTATGGACCCACTCATTTTGTGAGGGAGGGAGGTGTTTCCAGGCAACTAGGTACTGAGTTGCTCCATGATATCTCCTAGAGTCAAGGACTTCCTTTATTTCGAAGTGTTGTTCACCCTCCACCATGATTGGAGGTGGTGGGGGGGGGATTTTTGGCCGTAGAGGTGACTGATGCTCTCTTTTCAGCAAGCTGCAATGAAAAATTGGGTGTATTTGCCTGAGATTTTTGGGTAATTCTAATTCTACTGTTACTGGATTTATGATTCTTTTAATTGGAAAAGGTCCTATATATTTTGGTCCAAGTTTTTTACAGGGCTGTAGGGACTTTAGGTATTTTGTAGATAAGTACACCATTTCTCCTATAATGAATGGTGTAGGCTCAACCCTTTTTTTATCGGCTTGTGTTTTATATGCCTGCCTAGCTTCATCTAGTGCTTTTCTGACTATTGGCCAGGTGTTTTGTAATTTCTCCATCCATTCTTTCAGCGAGGGGATCGTTGGTTCGTTTGGGGTTAATTCTGGCATGGGGTTGAAACTTTGACCGGTGGCTATTTGAAAAGGAGTGTAACCTGTGCTGGAGTGGACTGCATTATTGTAGGCAACTTCTGCAAAAGGGAGTAAGTCCGCCCACTCGGTCTGCTGGAAACTAAGAAAACATCTTAAATATTGCTTAAGTACGGAGTTCATTTTTTCAGCCCCCCCCCCCATTTCCTTGAGGGTGGTGGCTAGATGTCAGTCCCTGAGTGGTTCCTAAGAGGGATAAAAATTCCTTCCAAAATGCAGACGTAAATTGCACCCCCCTGTCAGAGATGATGCGTTGGGGTGCCCCATGCAATCTGTAAATGTGTTGGATGAAAAGTTTTGCTAAGGCTTTTGCAGTGGGAATCTTTTGGCAAGGGATAAAGTGCACCTGTTTGGAAAACAAGTCCGTGACCGTCCAGACCACAGTATTCCCATTGCTTTCTGGCAATTCCACTATAAAATCCATGGCTATTTCTCTCCAGGGGGCTGAGGGACTTGCCACTGTTTGCAATAGTCCTGGCACTTTCCCTTGCAACCTTTTTGCCGTGGCACATTTTGGACAACTGGCTATATAACTTTCAATGTCCTTTTTCATGGATGGCCACCAAAATTGCCGTTTAATTAAATGTAAAGTTTTTACAAATCCAAAATGCCCTGCTGATTTTGTGTCATGGCAAAGGTGCATGAAAGTTACTCTTTGAGTTGTTGGTATATATAACTTTTCCCCTACCCAAGGCAACCCGTCTCTCATTGTGCACACATTTTTGTTTTTCTGGAACCATTCATCTGTTTCCAAACTTTTTCTGAATTCAATTCCAGTTTGGCTGTCCAGTTGTGGTTTTAATTTGGCTTGGGTTCTTGTGGTTACTGGTGCTGCCAGTTGTGACTCTGCCATTATTGGTCTAGAGTCTGTGGTTCGTGCGCTGTTATATTGGGGCATGCGAGATAGTGCATCTGCCAGGAAGTTCTTTCTTCCTGGTAAATGTTTGAGCTTAAATTGGAATTGGTGAAAATGCTGGGACCAGCGGGCTTGTTTGGGATTGAGTTTCCTGGAAGTTTTCAGGGCTTCTAAATTTTTGTGATCAGTCCACACCTGGAAGGGGATTTTGTTGCCTTCCAGGAACTGTCGCCACGTGAGTAATGCCCAACGTATCCCATAAGCCTCCTTCTCCCATGCGGGCCAGCGCTGTTCTGTTTCCGTGAGTTTCTTGGATGTATATGCACAGGGTTGCAATACTGCATCATCATTTTCTTGTAATAGCACAGCCCCCACTGCCACATCACTTGCATCTGCCTGTATTACGAAGGGCTTGTCCATGTCTGGGTGCCTTAGTACTGGTTCGGCAGAAAAAAGTCTCTTTAGTCTCTCAAACGCTGCTTGGCACTCCATTGTCCATGTTAGTGGCTGGCTAGGTTTTACTGAGGATGTTCCCTTCGTTTTTAGTAAGTTAGTGAGGGGCAAGGCTATCTGGGCAAATGAGGGGATGAATTGGCGGTAAAAATTTGCAAAGCCCAGGAAACTTTGTAGTTGCTTTCTTGTGCGGGGTGGTGCCCAATCTAGTACTGCTTTGACCTTCTCCGGGTCCATTTCAATGCCCTGTGGGGATATGCGATAGCCTAGGTAGTCTATCCTTTCCTGGTGGAATTCGCATTTTGAGAGTTTGGCATATAGGTGAGCGGCTCGCAGCTTCTTTAAAACCGCTCTGACAAGTTTGACGTGTTCTTCTTTTGTTTCGGTAAAGATAAGAATGTCGTCCAAGTAAACAAGGACCCCCTTAAACAGGTGCTCCCTTAGAACGTCATTGATTAATTGCATAAAGACTGCAGGGCCCCCTTGTATCCAAATGGCAAGACTTTGAATTGATAGCACCCCATGGGGCAGTTAAATGCAGTCTTCCATTCGTCCCCTTCCTTGATTCTCACGCGATAGTAAGCTTCCCTTAAGTCTAGTTTAGAAAAAATTTTCCCTTTCGATAGGTGTGACAGCATGTCTTTCATGAGGGGCAGCGGGTATAGGTTGCTTTCACTGATTGTATTCAGGGCCCTATAATCCACGCATAAACGTAAAGAGCCATCCTTCTTCTCTCTAAAAAGGACCGGGGCAGCCACTTTAGGCTTGGCTGGCTCAATGAAACCTCTCTCCAGGTTTTTTTTTAATAAATCTTTCCATTTCCTCCTTCTCCTTTGGGCTCATGGAGTATAATCTGGGCTTCGGGAGTTTTGCCCCAGGCTTGAATTCAATGGTACAGTCTGTGGGTCGGTGGGGGGGAAGCTCATTCGCCCTCTCCTCACTGAAGACTTCAGCAAGGTCCCTATATTCCTCTGGTATTTCTGTTAATCTTTTTTCCTCTCCTATGGATGCTTTTTCTATTCTTGATTCTGGTAGCCTCCCTTGGGGTTTTAAGTCCATAGGGTCCCCCTTCGGGAATTTGATTTCTGTCGTCCTCCAATTTACCCAGGGGTTCCATTTTTTCAACCATTCCATCCCTAGAATCATTGGGCATTCCATACCTGGGGTCACCACAAACGTTAAGTCCTCTTCATGGTTGCCCAGGGAGAGGTGTATTGGCAGAGTGGCTAGGGTAGCTGGCACCCCCCCTGCTATGGATCCATCTAGCTGGCCAAATGAGATTGGTTGTTCCAGTCTCCTGGATGGGATGCCCAGATTCCCCACTAGTGTTGGGCTAATGAGGCAGCGGGTGCAGCCAGAGTCTATTAGGCTTTCACCTTCACAGCTTCGGGCATGGGGGGGATTAATATAGTCATTGTTTTGAAGATGGGTGTGATGCATCCACTTACCAGGGGTTCGCCCTCCGAGCTGTCATCTGAGGCATCCACCTGCCCTGTGGTGTAGGCTGGAGTTCTTTCCCTTTGGTGAGCAGAGGTGAGGGTTTCTGCAATTTCCATCATTCTCATGGCCGTTTCCTTTGGCTTAGCTGAATACTTTTCGGGTTTGTTGATTGGGGATCTGTCTGGGTTGTGCTGGGGGGCCTTTGAGCGGCATTCTACAGCTCGATGCCCTTCTCTTCCGCACTTGAAACACCCCATTTGCTTCTTGGCTGTATCCGATGATTTCACCGGTTGGGGTGTCAGCTCAGGCGGGGGGCGGCTCCATTGTTTTCCTCGGCGGTGCCTCTTCAATATGTCGATCTCTGCTTCCTCTGCCAAGACGTACCATTCCTCAAGTCGATGTGGGTCCCCTCGGGGCAGGCAAGCATCATACAGATCATAGTTTAGTCCATCTTTGAAATGGCCAAGGAGGATGTCTTCTGGCCAATTCAGTTTGCTGGCAATGGCCCGGAATTCTTGTGTATACTCGGCCACTGGGCGTTTGCCTTGCCTCATCGTTGTTATTCTTTCACGGGCTTTGCGATCAGCCAGGGGGTCTTCAAATCGTCTTCTCAAAGAGGACATGAAACGGTTGAAGTTACTGAGTTCTGGGGCATGCAAGTTCACCACCCAATCTGCAGCTGGTCCATCCAGGGCAGATTGCACGATCCGGATGCGGGCTTTGTCGCTGGGAATGTCCTGCCCATATTCCTCCATGTAGCTGAGGACTTGGGTTAGGAAAAACCCCAAGCGTGTTGGCTCCCCTTTGAATTTCACTCCAACGGTGGACGTCTTGGAATGGATCGGTGCCTCCGTTGTTGGTGGTAGTGTCTTCCGTCCAGATTGCCATCTGTGGTCCGGTAGGGGGTGGGGGCTACTGGATCAGTAGATGTCCCTGGGGTTGCAGGTTCCACGTCCCCCTCGGTGTCTCTCCCTTTGCGGCTCCAGGAGCTGGGGCGGCCGTAGGGCTCAGTATTCTCCTCTCCTAGGGAGCTGAGAGTTCTCTTCATCAGGTCAATAGCTTTCTCTAGGATCCAGTCTGAGTACGGTGCCCAGCTTCCTCCCTCTTCACTTGCGTGCAGGGATTTCTCCATCTCCTGCTTCCATTCTGGTTGCTTGGTCCCCCGTCTCAGGATCACCTTTCTTGATTCCTTTCCCCACTCACTTTTCTTTCCAACGCCCATCGACCAGCAAGGCTTGTGGTCCTGTGTCTCCACCACTTCTTCTCCTGAGGAATCTGGCCTCTCGGATCCCAACATCTGGCAAGGTTCCAACTGGGTCAGCGGCTCTCTTTCCAGGGAGTTTTCCCCCTCTCTTGCTCCATTGTCTGACATAGTAAATTTTTGCAAAATCCCCCGGCAAGGGTCTCCCTTCCAGGTGGATTAATTTTGCAAGTCCTGTCTAATGTAAGGACCCACCCCACTTTGCATCTTAAGAAGACAGAACTCTTGGAATAATTCTTCCAACAGGAATCCTTTATTAAGAAGAAATGGTTGCAGGCATGCTAGACAGGACTTGGGGTTCAAGCTCTCCCATTCAAGGTTTTAAGGGGTTCCCCAGTAGTCCCACCCAATCAACCCCCCTTCCAGTGATAGTTTCAAGTATCACAATTCCACCCCCTTTCTTCTTTCTTCCGTCTGGATGGAGACTTCAGATAACTACATGAAAGGCAAATACCCTTCTTTGTTATGATAAGGTCCTCTGGTGCTAACGCTTTGAGGTTACAATAAACACACATTCAGCATTCAGCTCTTTGAAGTGTACTGAAGGAAGTGAGGGCCATAAAGCCCCTTTGTTCTCCCCCTTCTCTCCCTCTTATGGCAGAATCCAGAGAAGACAGAATTGGGAGTTTCTATATTTGATAATTAAAGATGAAATATAATTGGATTCTGACAGAAACTAACCAAAGAGAGAAGCAATCTAGAACTAAGGAGAAATTTCCTGAAGAACAATTAATCAGTGCTATGGATGCTCCAACGCTGGAAGTTTTTAAGAAAAGACTGGACAGCCATTTGTCTGAAATGGTATAGGATTCCCTGCCGCTGCCGCCGCCTCCTCCTCCTCATTATTATTATTATTATTATTATTATTATTATTATTATTATTATTATTATTTTGCACAAACAAAATTGAAAATCCTGGCTGTATAACATCACCATACTCATTATCTGCTGTCTTCCAAACCTGGAAGAAAAATGGTACTACTTGGAAAAAACAACAACTATATACCCAAATAATTGTATATTCACTCCTGATCACTCATCTTCTGGTTTAGAGTATTTTGCTAGATTCTTTTTCATACTCAACTGTTTTAAGTCAGTTTTTTTTTTATTTCTCTAGCATAACAACATGTTCTGTTATCTGAATAATTACATCTGAACTTAAACCAGAAAAAATAGTATGAAGGAATTAAATCATGCTGATGCTAATTTGGATGTTTCATACTATTTTGAAATAGTTTCAGTTTATTTACCTATCAGTTTATGGAACCACATATATCGCTGAATGTTCACAGAGGTGTTTATTAATTTTGAACATGTGAATAATAATATAGATTTTCAATCTAATTTTAGTATTCAAATGAAATATAGCCCTTAGATAATGAGTGTCCTATTTAAATTGTGTTCATCACAGAATTCTATTTAACACTTTTTAAAATTTTGGCTGAAAGTAATGATTTCCCAGGTAATGTGTTTTTATATAGTTCTGAATACACTTCTAGGCTGTTAGATCCTACCTCATGGGACAGAGAAGGCAGAATTGAAGTGTTACCCATAGATTGAAGCTGACTAAGGAATGAATTAAAAAAGAAATTATACATAAATTACATAGGAGTTCAGATTGGTTGACTCTATTCGTGTTAAGTTTGTACCTTGTCTTGTTTTATAAATTTTACAGTCACTTTGGATCAAAATTTCCATTTTGTCTTTATATATAGTTGAAAAACCTCAGATTTTAAAATAACATTTTTACAGAGATTTCAGGCTATTTTACAGTATTAAATCTCCAAGGAAACTCCTTGAAGTGTCTTAGTTCAGTAATGCTGATTTAGTGTATTCTAATTATGTGTCATCTTCTAATGCTGATTTTGTGTGGCAGAACCGAGCTGGGTCGTCAAAAGCTTCACACCCAGGATTTATTTTACCAACTGGAAAGAGCAAATGAAAAGGTTATTGAGGTAAGTTCAATAATATCATCTGAATGTTATGCTTCAGCTATAAGGACTGCTCTATTTGAATATTACTGTCACTTGGATTGAAGCTGTTCTGACCCAGAGACACATATTCTTTTTCCGATTTCGCACATTGGAAAACATGTTAGAAATTACTAGTATCTTTACTGCTGTTTAAACATTAAAATGTGGTGAGTGAAGAGTTTTTTTTACTAACATCTGTAATTTATCCTTTCATCATGTTGTATTACATTTTTTCTGCAATTACAGATAAATGTAAATTTTACTTTCATTTAAATTTTCATTTTTCTGCAGCTACACAGACATTGTAATTATTACCTTAACCATCTGCTAAAAAAAAATAAAAAGTTAATTCTTTATCCTGATAAAACTACGTTATAAACAAAAGCCTTCTAAATCTTTCTGTGCTGCCTCCTGGTAATGGAGGGGTGTTTCTGCCAAGTGATTATAATCCCATAAGAGTTCCCAAGGCGTGAAGCTCATCTCAGCAAAAGCTAGCAGGCATCTGTATTCAGCAGCAATAGAGCAAGATGCTGGAGGCACATGATCACTTTAGTGGCAACAGCAAAGACATCATTTTCTACTATTTTTATTAAGAAAACCATATGAATGTCTTAAGACATCAGTGAACTGAAATAGATTGCAATTGATTATTTTTCAGTCAGAAGAGAACAGTTTTATGTCAATCTCCCAAGTAGACCAAACAGTTAAAATAACAAAATGAGCAAAATCTTTATTGTAAGGTTACAGTAACAACTTTCCAAACTGAGTTGATGCTACATGGAGCTACTTTTTTATTGTTCAAAGTCCATTTGCAATTTCTGTGACAAATTTTACATTTGTAATAAGTGATTTCATTTATACAGAGCGAAAAATTAATGAGGGAATATCAAGAAAAAGTCAACAGACTTCAAAATCGACTAAATCAAGCAGAAGAGAGGGCAACTACAGCATCTCAACAGGTATCTAAACTGGTCCACTTAAATGAATAAAGAGCTTTTTAAAAAAGAAAAATATACTTTATGGAACAATGGTTACTGTAGCTGTTAAAATCAATGCATGTATTGTATGCATATAAGCATGATAAGGCCTTATAGATATAATCGTTGTACTTGCATTAATTTTACCTTTTTTATTAGTTTTTCTGTTATATTGAAATAAAGACAGAACATTTTAAAATGGATGTTTATACAGAACTAGAAGATATACTAAAAGGAAATGTCTGTCTAGAAATTCTGAATAGGTTTGAAGAACTAACATAAAATTATAACTTAAATCACCATGCAGAAATCTCAACATTAGTACCAAATTATTTGTGAAAATAGGGTTACTTAGCACAACCATTCTTTCAAATCCATCAGTTTAAAAGGTAATTTGGTAGGTAAAATATAAGAATGCAATATAGAAACATTAATACACTGGTCTCTTACAACTGGAGACTTCTGTATTATTTCACTTGCAGGATCAGATATGAATCCATAATTCATCATGGGATAAACAGGTAATGCCATTCAGAAGTTGGACCTTTAACCACTCTAATCACTGTAGCTGATATAAGTTGGAATCCACTTATATCTATCTGAAAGGTCTTACGTTCCTCAGAAAATAATTCCCTCCTCTCACACAAGTAGGTAGAAGCTCTAAGCTACGTACTAACAAATTTGCAGGTCAGAGAACATTTAGTGTGTTCATAATAATGGTGGCTGGAAAAAAATTCTCAATTTTACATAGAAAGAAAATAATTTCTGTAACATATCTATTTCAGGTTGTATTGTCATCTAATTTGTTTAAAAGGATCCAGTGAGGAAAGGAACTAATCATTGTGTTTAATTACAGCTCAGCGCCATAACATTGCAGAAGAAAAAGGCCACCTACTTGATAGAGCAAAAAGAAATGTGAAGTAATATGTCCTTTCATAGTCTGTAAGTACAAGTTGCCTAAGAAAAGTACCTTTGGCGCCTTAGAATGTTTCATGTAAAATGCTGTATCTTTTCCAGGTACTACATTGCTTTATAAAACAAATGTATTTTTTTCTATTCACAACAAACATTAAAGAGACAGCTGAGAAAATGTGTAAAAACATCTCTACAAAGTTTAGTTTTGAAAATTAGAATTGTATACTGTTGAATTGGATTTTTCTAATCTATACAATCAATTTATTAGTTATTTAACTTTCAGATGTTGAATGTTCTATCTATTCAACCAATATTGCTGAATTGCTGCTTAGCATCAACGTCCCTTACCTGTTTGAAAAGTAGACAGACTCGGTATATCAGATATACAATTAACAAAGCTATTCTTACTCGGCATTTAAATTACTGTAAAAGTAGAAATTCCATTTATAGCAATTCTTTAGCTGTCCAGAACAATATTTAGGATGTTATCACATTGTTATATGGACTAAATTGTCTACATTATCTTGGAAAGTCCATGATTTCTCAAGATAGAAAAGTCTAACGTATATTTCAAACTCCTTCTTTGGTTAGGTACAAGGAATACATGAAAAAGAAAAAATATTTTGTTTAGAGCTAGATAAAATGTCAGACCGTGCAATGGTCAGAGAAATTGCAAAAAAACCCACGAGTTACATCTCTGACTCTACACAGGCGTCAGTTAGCATACTAAATGTTCATGAAAGTACAATTAGAAAAAAACTGAACACGTATGGTTTGTTTGGAAAGATTGTCAGGAGAAAGCCTCTTCTCACTAAAAAGAACATGGTAGCACAACTTAGGTTTGCAAAGTTGCATCTGAACAAATCACAAGACTTCTGGAACACTATTCTTTGGACAGACCAGACCAAAGTGGAGATGTTTGGCCATAATGCAAGTACCACATTTGGCAAAAACCAAATACTCCATATCAGCACAAACATCTCATACCAACCATCAAGCGTGGTGGAAAGGTGATGATTTCGGCTTGCTTTTTTAGCCATAAAACCTGGGCATCTTGCAGTCATTGAGTTGACCACGAACTCCTCTAAATACCACGTATTCTAAGTAAAATGTGAGGCCCACTTTCCGACAGTTAAAGCTTGGCTGACATTAGATCATGCAACAGGACAATAATTCCAAGCACACCAGCAAATCTACAATAGAATGGCTGGGGGAAAAAAAAGTAGGGTATTGCAATGGCCCAGTCAAGTCTAGACCTCAACTGAGTGCAATGCTGTAGTGCAGTGGTTCTCAACCTGTTTCACAGGGGTCGCCAAACAACGCAGTCTGCCATTTTTCCCCTTTTCCTTGGTTGTGCTACTCCCTTTTATTCTATTGGCTTTTGAAAGCCAACAGAATAGACTCTTGAATAGAGTCTAATTCTATTGGCTTTCAAAAGCCAATAGGAATTGTCCAGGCTGTCTCTGCCCTGCTGAGCCCGCCAAAAGTCCCATTCTGCAAATGGTGCTGCAAGTTGTCTGCAGCGAAGGCGAGCTGTCTGGAAGTTTCCACCCCTCCCTGCTGAGTAACTACTAAAAATGTAAGTAAAAGAGGGCCAGGAGTGGGAGCTGGGAGGCCAGCGGGCGCAGGGATTGCTGGCGCGCGTGGGGCCCTGCGGGTGCCTTACCTCCCTTGGGCTGGGCCAGCTGGTGGCCCAGCCGGTGGTCAGCCTGCGCCGTCTCTGCCGCTTGCCAGCTATGCCTCGGCCGGTGCAGGGGGCGGCACCACGCATGTGCGGCTCTCCCGGGCAGGGAAAGTCCTCGACTTACAACCGGTTGAGTAGTCCTCGACTTACGACTGGTTGGGTAGTCCTCGACTTACAACCAGTTGGGTAATCCTCGACCTACGACCGGGTGGGGTCGCGGCATTAAAAAGGTTGAGAACCACTGCTGTAGTGGGACTTCAAGAGAGCTGTGCATAAACATGCCCACAAATCTCAATGAACTAAAGCAATGTTGTAAAGAAAAGTGGGACAATGATGTGAGAATCTGATAAAGTCATGCAGAAAATAATTATCCCAAGTTATTGCTACTACAGGTGGTTTTACAAGCTATTGAATCATGAGGTGTATTTAGTTTTTCACACATGCCTTCCATTTTGGCTTTCTTTTTGTAAAATAAATTATAGCATGGTATAATAAGTCGTGTGTTGTTGTTCATTTGAGGTTGTGTTTAACTATTATGCTAAGGACCAGATGATTTTTATTATGTCCTGATACATAAAAGCATAGAATTCAAAGAGGGTGTTCTTTCTTTCTCATAGGACTGTATGTACTTGGAACAAGTGAGCTACATTGTTTTCTAATCCTTGAAAACATTAGTAATGGCAATTAGTCATAGGCCAACCAAGCTGTGATCTCATTCCAGCAACACTGAAAAAGCCATCTTTGTATTTGACCTGCAGTCTAAAAACTCAATATAAGGGTTTCAAAATATAGTATAGTTCAGGAACAAACATGCAATATATCTTTTGCCTTTGCAACCTAACCTGAAACCTCTCCAGTTTATCACTGCAATCCAGTGTATGCACAGCAGCAAAATCCAACTCATTTCTCTTGGCCTAAACGGGCATGAATGGAAGTTAACACTATCAATTCTGTATACTTTAGAATATAACAGTAATAAGTTAATGTAATTTTTCATTTTATTATTTGCCATCTGATTAAAAAAAAGAATATATTGTTGTCAAATAAACTCAGATATCACACTATAACACTTAAGTGTATTGCAAAATGTACAGCATTTATTCACATACAGACAAAGGCACAATTCTACTAAATATTTTAACAAAAAATACAGCCATCTTCAACTAGGTCTTTATAAATACTTCAAAAAGGGAGGAAAATAAATACAGGATTGGGCCATGTAATATAAAATAGTCATCTCTACATATACTTTATTTCTATTTGTTTTATCATCATGCACCTGTTTTCAAATTGGAGCAAAATGGACACCAAAGCTAGGCACATAGTGAAAAAATCCTCTGTACAAGGTTTTACAAATGTAGTAAGATCTTTTTACCCAATTTACGTAAAATAATCAAGATTTTGTACATATGAGACATACATTATCTTTCATTAGTTTAGACTGGCACATATGTGTATGGGTGTCCGGAAATGGGCAGCATTCCAGTCAATATTACTAAAATGTTTATTACCCTATATTTCAATGTAGTACACCAAGATTTCTTGGGCAATCTGCATAAGTAAAATGTGGAGCTAACAAGAAATCTCCATTTTATCAATGAAATTAATGTAGTGGTTGTAAAGAATATGGTTTTATTTATACATTTTCATGTACTGAGTGTTAAATATGGTATGAAACAGCTGGTCATACTGATTTTACCTACTTCTATAGTTGGACATTGGGGGTAAGGGAAAAACACTATTTTTTCTTCTTTTGCTATTAATTTTTGGTTCAGCATTAATCAAAACATCAGAAAGCTTATTAACCTAAATATGGTGGGGAAAACAGATAAGGCATTCTTTCTGCACAAATGCTAATACTCCTAATAGTGCAAATGTAATCTGATACCTCTTTCAAAATTGATCATAACATTGAATAATGTTTATTTAACATCAAATTTATTTCTTCTATGGCTTGATGAAAAACTCCCTGTTGGGCAAGTTAACCAATATTATTTCACTTAAACCTCACCTCAAACACTTATTGTATTAAATAATCAATTAATCACATCCCTCTTATATTTAACAAGAATATGCCTGCTTTTAAGGCAGGAAACCTTGCTATATACCTGTAATATATGGGTAGTTTAATCCAAAGCAACAAAGCCGTGTATATATATCTTACTTTCCAGTTGCTTTCTAAAATGGCATTTTAAAATGTTTAGAATTTAAAATCTTAACCTGCTTGTTAATTCTATCCATCCTGACTCAAAGGCAATGCATAGACTACTCTAATACAGCACTCTCTGTAGAAAGGAGATGGAGAATGTTCTTTCTTTTAAATTTTAATAATTTCCTTGACAATGAAGCAAGCTGCCAAAAAAAAAAAAACCTGCCTATATAAAGTTCTGTTAAAGAACTGGAACTGCAGTGTACCAATAGCCATCACTGGAATTACAGCTATTACATACACACAGAGCCTAAGATCAGAAAATGATGGTCTGATGAAATGTGACCATTTCACAACCTCCTCATTGTTCATGCATGAGTCCCATTTCAGTTTCCCATTCAGTTCTAACCACAGCATCCGGGGATATCTGAATTTGATAGGCCAAGTTAAATAATGGCCTTTCAAAGGCTGTATTTTTTTATTTTAATGAAGCCAATTACTCTTATATTAAATTATGATTAGCACTAAGCTTGATACTGAGGGTGGAGGCAAAAGATTAGTGAGGGGGAAACTGAATTTGTAGCTTATTATAGGTACAATAATCTTGGATTATTACCACTGCTTTAGAAGTAAATGGGGATATGTTCTGATGCATGTTCCCAATTATAGAGTCAGTGAATCAGTAATTTAGAATTCATGGGATCACGTACAATATTTCTCTATCCAAAATTTAGGATTGTAAGAAAACTGTACTTTATAAACCTCCTCAAATACAATGTATTATTGATGATCAGTGACTTGCATAGCAAGATGAAACAGTAGCACTCTAGTTTTCAGCTGAAACCTCTGGAAGACTTGAGTCAAATTGCAAGGTTCCAACGTTTGTTTTAAAACATTATTTTACTTGTAGTAAGTAAAAACTAATGATGATGAGTTGCCAAAACAAAATACCTACTGCTCCTTACATTTCTCATAACTTCATTATCTCTGATATTGTTTATATCCAAGTTGAGTCCCAAAAGTTGTAATAGTCTTTGTGTCTTACAAATGCACTCTGCTGAGTACACAAAATAGGCTAATACTCTGTTCACTTATTATTGCTGATGGCTTTTTCTCTCTAGTTATTGCAGTTTTAATGATGTAATCAAAACACTCTTTTGTCAAATCTAATCCATATCATGAAGTCTTGTTGTTAAATTGGTTTGAATGTAAAGCACTATTCGCATCTTATTGCCTTACCATTTTTTTCAAAAAATATACATATATATTTATTACATCCTTCTTTTTGTATTTAAAGTAACCCTTATGTGTTAGAAACTTGCATATCCCAACACATAATATTAGTGCATATAAAGAAAGGCTGATGACTACTGCCTTTGGAAATACAGTCATATCTTCACGGCAAACTTCAAACATTTGTCTGCCATTGCTTCTCCCAAATCTGTTAATATGCTAAGAATTTTTCTATTATAAAAATTCTCCCCCGTTATAGATTTACAATTTGCAGTATATTTCAGGGGTGTGGGTGTGTAGGAGAAACAAGACAGCCAACCCTGTTTTGCCACAGAGACACATTTAAGTCTGTCACTTGAATTGTCTTTGTATTTCACATGGCAAGTACTAGCAGAATACAGCAAGCTTACAAACCTTTCTTTCAAAACAAGATCAAGTACTTTAAGACATAGGTACCCCTTCCCTTAATTTGAGAGAAGTAAATAATTTTCCTTAATTCTTTGTCTGGGTCCCTTCAGAATAGCACTGTATATATGCTGCAGTTACTTTTTTTATTCTGGGCAGCTTGGATTTACCCCTTAGGGTATCTAGCTGTCATTCTTACCTGCTTGAAAACTTTTGTGTCTAAAAACATTTGGAGTTAACAAAGGTTACAGCTGCCAAAATTCCCCTGAATTCTAATACAGCAAAAAAAACGAGACTAGGATTTACTCTAAGCACAGCCTGAGGAGAGTGACCAGATTAGGATAAGCAGTGCACCAAAATTTAATTCATTACTCTCTTACATATTAACAGCTTGTGCTTTTCAGGGACGGGAGAAGAAAAACTTCAGTGCTATCTGCATGAAGTAGGGTCTACCCAGACAATCCAATTAGCTTATCCTTCTTTTTAAAATGAGCATTCAGCATATTAATCAATTGGAAAGCAATATTATTTTCTCAGATTTCTTTGAGACAATTGCAAATAATGTTCACACCTCACAGTCATGAGAATGGTGAAGGAAATACTCATACTCAAGTGCACGTAAACAACTTTCTACAGCCTAGGGAAAATGTGTTCATTCTTGATAGATCTTGTAGTCGTAATTAAAACTCTTTTGTCCCACCAATAAATAGAAAAGAGTAGCTACTTGTTTTTTTATCCAGGCTGGAGCTTCACTGGTTCCAGTGCTGCTATTCTGTATCACTCTCCAGTCAAGAGGCAAGAATACTTCTCCTAATAAAATCTGTCCTTCTAGGGAGAGAGCTATTTGATCCCAGCCTGCATTTCTTCTCAGACATCTCAGTTTCTGAATCACTCATCTCTGCATCCGGGGCATATCCATCATTCTCACTGTCCATTTTTAAGTTGCTTTTTGCCCTATCTTTAGGGGAAACTTGTCCGAGAGCCGAGTAAGAGAAATTAGAGTTTTGGCGGCATGCCTCCTCCTGCCCTTCTCCCTGCTGTTGCCTTTCTCCTTTCTTTGGAATTCGGAATCCTCCCCAATTTTTCACAGGGCTTCTGGGTGTTGTAGGCACTTTAACTGGACTCGGGTTATAATTTATTCTGAAAAAGGATCCATTGCATTTAGGCACCATATCCCTCCGGATTCCGGGTGCTGATCTGCCACTTGGGTGGTTCACTGCCCTTTTATTTTCTAACTGCCTCTGAAAGGATTCATTTGACTTCAGGGGCTTGTAGTTATGTTTGGGAGGTTTCTCCTTCAATCCTACCTTTATCATGTCACAATGAGAATGATTGTCTCTTTTCTTGTGGTCTTCTGTTACAATCCCATTCTTCTGTTGTGCTGCTCCAACTTGTGCTTCTGCAAAGGTTTTTTCAAAACTGAAAAAGCTACCAGAAGAAGCAAGACCCTCCCTTTGGCTGGGCTGCTTCAGCAATGGTTTGTTATTGTGCCTAGAATTTCTCCTCATTTGCTCTCTCTTCTCTGTTTTTTTCAGTGAATGACTTAACGACATGCCCATTTGTTTTCGGAAGAAAGCCGAATGCCATTTCAAATCCTCTATCTTAGGTGCATCTGGGCCCAATGGTGAACTGTTGAAGAGCACCAAATTTTCCATCGAGGAGAAAGAGGAAGGCATACCTGGAGAGACACCAATAAACATGTTAAAGTTGTTCTAAAATTACTCATCCTGTATTTACCTTCAGTAAAAACTTCCATTAGTTGTACTAAATTCTTACTGGAATGAATGGAATTTAAAAATGAATTTAATCCAAGACTCATTTTTCCTATTAATTTCAATAGGACTTACATTCAATTAATTTACTACAGCTACTACAGTACTTCGTTACTCATGTAGGTAGTATAGCCAGTGCTAACATGGGGTATTAATTTCACATTATATTGTATCTTAAGTACCTAATCAGTTAAGTCAGTAGAAATAAATTAAGGTGTTTTAATGATAAGACTATTTTGGTGCACTAAATACTATCTTCATTATTTTTGCTTTTTACTTATTTTTGGATCTCTCTCTTTTTTTTTATAGAAAAACAGAAACAAATCTAGACTTGTTAACCAGTTTTAGTCCTGCCTATGCTGTAGTAGGGTATGTGTAGCACATTCCCTGCTACAGTAATGACAATATTGGTCAATTTTGGCACCTTTTGGCCTATATGCCTCAAGTGTTACCAAAACACAGTTTTATCTCAAACATGCTCATACTATATGCTGACTCTAAACCGCTTAGAGAAGGCTGTAAAGCACTGTGAAGCAGTACAAAAGTCTTAGTGGTATTGCTATTTCCAGATTACCATGCATGCTATTGCCCTTATCCCACTGATTAGGAAGTAAGTACTAAGTCCTAACAAATACTTAGAATGCATCTACATGGAGGGAAATGTGTAGTGGAGAGCCCCAAGGCTCTCTTTTGGGCCCAGTGCTCTTCAACATCTTCATCAATGATTTGGATGAAGGGATAGATGGGGAACTCATCAATTTTGCAGACGACACCCAGCTGGCAGGAATAGCCAACACTCCAGAAGACAGGCTTAAGATACAGGAGGATCTTGACAGACTTGAACATTGGGCGCTATCTAACAAAATAAAATTCAATGGTGAAAAAAGTAAGGTTCTACATTTAGGCAAGAAAAACCAAATGCACAGGTATAATATAGGTGGTACCTTGCTCAATAGTAGTAACTGTGAGAGGGATCTCAGAGCCTTAATTGACAAACACTGAAATTGAACCAGCAATGTGCTGCAGCTGCCATAAAAGCCAGCACAGTGCTAGGCTGCATTAACAGGGATAGAATCAAGATCACGTGAAGTGCTAATACCACTTTACAATGCCTTAGTAAGGCCACACTTGGAATACTGCATCCAGTTTTGGTCACCACTGTGTAAAAAAGATGTTGGGACTCTAGAAAGAGTACAGAGAAGAGCAACAAAAATGATTAGGGACTGGAGGCTAAAACATGTAAGGAACGGTTGCTGGAATTGGGCATGTCTAGTTTAATGAAGAGAAGGACAAGGGGAGACATGATAGCAGTATTTCAATATCTCAGGGGTTGCCACAAAGAAAAGGGAGTCAAGCTATTCTCCAAAGCACCTGAAGGCAGGACAAGAAGCAATGGATGGAAACTATCCAAAGATAGAAGCAACCTAAAACTAAGGAGAAATTTTCTGACAGTTAGAACAATTACCGTAAATGCCAGCGTATAAGACGACTTCCGCGAGCACTGAAATCGGCGCCAAAGACGGGGGTCGTCTTATACGCCGAGTCGTCTTATACGCCGGAAATACTGGTAGTTTCCGGCATATAAGACGACGTTCTAGGAATGCGGCCCGGTTATAAAGACGGGGGTCGTCTTATACGCTGGGTCGCCTAATACGGCGGCATATACGGTAATCAGTGGAACAACCTCTTCCAGAAGCTGTGAATGCTCCAACACTGGAAATTTTTAAGAAGAGACTGGACAGGCATTTATCTGAAATGGTATAGGGTTTCCTGCCTGAGCAGAGGGTTGGACTAGATGATCTCCAAGGTCCCTTCCAACTTTATTATTAATATTGCTAAAGGCAATATATCAAGATAAATAATGTAAGAACAGGGGGAAAGAAAGGATAGTTACCACAGATACAAAGATATGGAAAGCTACAGCATGTATTTGTATATATTATCTGCATGTCAGTTCTAAAGCATGCAAATGCAAGTAGATAAATAGGTACCACTTCAGTGGGAAATAGTGTTCTGTATGCCTCAGGGTATAGTCATGCCAGTAACTTGACCATAAAAGTGTCTTCAGACAGCTAGGAAATGTACATAAGCACTGCCCCCTAGAGTAGGACATAACTGGACAAGGGAAATATTTACCTTTTATAAACTAATTATAGATATGTTTCCTTTTTTATATCATGCTTTTAATTTTTTTGTTTATTACTTCTTAATGTCTTTTCTATGCTCTTTCTGAGATAAATAATATGATGTATATGTAGGTAAACATGGTTTTTTAAAAAAAAAATGGGTCTTAGGATGTATATTGAAAAGTTTTATACAATATACATCCCAAGACCCACTCACCCCTCCCCCACTTCTCAGAGCTGAATACAGAGTTACAAATAAACAATCAAACTCTTAAAAAAAAAATTACCCAACTATACTAGTAACCAAGTCCATAACGCACTTTAACTCCCTTATAAATATAAACAAATTAAAAATAAACATAATATAAACAAATCAATATTGTTAAACCATACTAAAACTAATAAAAATTAAAAAAGAAACTATTAATAATATTCTAAAGTTTACTCATAAGCTAATTGAAACTTTTTAATCCCATATTTGTTCTGAATATAATCTATCCATCTTCTCCAAACCGAAATATATCTTTCTTGTGAGTGATCCTTCAAGTAAACAGAAATTTTTGCCATTTCTGCTAAATTTGACACCTTAAAGTGTCTAATCTTCTATAGTAGGCAAAGAATCTTTCTTCCAATATTGCCCTACTAATAACCTTGCAGCTGTTATAAAATTCAACATCAAAATAGTTTCTTTAGCATCACAATCTACAATAACAGTAGGTAAACATGGTTTTAAATAGTTGTAAAACAAAACGCTTTTTTTCCCCAACCAGCTTATTTTTACAGAAATTGTTTCAGTTTCTGTTTTTTCAAAAATGCTCCTCCTACATAGTGAAAAACTATGTCCCATTTGACCAAACTATATAAATTATATATTTGGCTGATATAAAGATGCTATTTTAACACATCTTATAATAATAAATTGTGATTAACCTACTTACAGTGATGATGAAACTTTTAGAGACCGAGTGCCCAAAATCACCCGCCTGCCCGCTCCGTTGCCTACTCCTGCTCCACCCCCCATTCTGCCACCTGCTCACAGGGCCACCCACTGCCTCCACGGCCTGCCGCAGATTGCCTAAGTAGACCTGCAGCGCCATGGTGGCCACGCCTTCCACCCATGCAGAGCAGCAGCATCTGAGCACATTGGGCGCGAAGGCAGAGTCTTGTCCCTGCTCTTTGGCTGCCATATCCTTGGCTGTGCTCCTCGGTGCAGGCCGTGCCCGAGGGTGACTCTCCGGGGGGGGGGCCTTCTGGTGAGGAGGGGCTGCAGGGAAGGTGGGGCTGGGGCAACAGCGCACGTGCCCACAGAGAGAGCTGCCTCTGGCCTACTACATTCCTAAAAATCATAAAACTAAGTTAAGTTTTGAAGTGCATCAATTAAAAATCAACACTGCCTTAGCTTGGTCTGTGGAGCACAAATATATTTTTCATAGATTTATTACGTTGTCATTTATCTTATAATGGGAAATGTTAAATTGAATTAATACAAGTTCTATTAAGATGCAAATATGAAATAACTGAACAAAATTTAGAACCTTATCCCGTGCTAAAGTAATAAAATATAAGAGAATGAAGTATGACACTATTCTCTAGGTTTCTGACCAACATGTGTTAAGAAAAGCATCTACTAATTTCTACTCTTGATTAGCAAACTTTTTGCAATCAAAAATCCTGAAAAATGAAGCATAGAATTGTATGAAATCTTCTACATTTAAATGCATATTATATGTACACAAACACTTGCAGGCTATCAAGTTGTCTGCAAATTTCTGGGTCTGAATATATTCACTGCCAGCATGTAGTCTCCCCAGAATACATGGTCTTTGACAGAAATAAGGTTCCCAAATCTGCTTATACTAAATTATAATTTGCTAAATGAAGTAATACTGTTGCATGGATGTGAGAAGTGGCAACTTGGAGGTATTACAACTTTCAAAAGGAAGCAAAAATAAGAAATGAGACTATAAAACAGCAACAAACTATCTAAACAGCCATAATAATAATACTGTATTTTTATAAATATTTGCAATGGCTATACTTTTAGAGAATTCTTTTCCAAGGATATAAAAATATAAATCAATAAATTCCTTAAAGTGGCAGCAAAGATAATCCATACAATCTTTTTACACCTGAGGGCATTGGTGGAAAACTGGGTAGGGAGAAAATAATTTTGAATTAATTAAAATTTAATGTATGTACTTACAGACAATCAAATCAAAATTTTATTATGGTCACAGGCTAGCATAAAGAAAATTAATGTCATTATTTCCCATTTATTTGTTCTTTTATATCAAGAAGGGGCACAAAACATGAGCATTACAGCATTAATTTTAATTCCAGATCATTTGACAGTGTTTTTCCAATGCCATTCTCTGAAAAATAAGAGAAAATGACAAAACTTACCTGAAGTTCTTTCATGTTCTACAAGATTTGTATAAAGATGAAATATCTGTTCCTGGACTTTGCAAACAGATCTTTTAATTTTTTCCCGTCGGGTCACCATGTAAGTGAGGTTCCGTACCTAGAAACATTGAAAATACTGCTAATATGAAGAATGCATAAAGGAAGTTTAAGATTATTTTGAAGTTGTTTGGAAAAAAATAGTGGCTCATCTGGAAACCTCTTTATAGTGAGTGAGACAAAGAAAAAAAAATTGAAGTAAAGAAGCATCTTGGATGAAAAGCGAAACATTTTCAAGGAAAAAATACCAAGGAAGTCCAGTTTCTTTTGAAAAGCACCTTTAGGATAACCATGACCGGATGACTCGGGGGGGGGGGGGGAGGGGGAAATCCTTTATTAAAAGGATTAAAAAGAGAAAGAATTTGGATAGAAAACCTTAAGACAGCATTAATGGCCTTCTTCTAAAAATGGTATCTTATCAATTCAGCCCTTTCAGTCTGGAGCCTAAGTACTCCCTAATTGCACATATCTTTAAAGTTACTCAATAGTTAAGAGAAAGCATAAACACAGAAAAAAGAGATTTTACTTTCTGTATTTCAGTTTGAAGAACTAATATCAAAAAAAAAGCTCTTCCTGAAAGCAGGTGTGTAATATTCATATTCAAAGCTGGAAACTTGTTTTGGACCTGGCATAGATATCCTCATTCTACCTCTAGCTGAAACCTTAAAGAAACTG